TGAAGGCGGGCATAAGATCGTCGCGAATCGCAAGATTGGCGATGCAACCGTGTACAACAAGTGGTGGAAACAACCCGACAAGTACAAGGTATTCGGAGTGACCATTCACGAAGTGGAGGAGGCGATGGGCATTCGTGACAATACACCCTTCGATGCGAGTGAAGAGAAATTCGCCGCATTGGAGGCATTGTTGAAAGTATCGCTCAATGTATTCGAGGTCACACTCTTACCTGGGTACATCGATAAGTCGAAGGAACAATTCGATTTATTCACATGCGATGTGGTGTATAAGGGCAAGGAGAAATCACGTTCCCCTCTCTCCCTCTGCATCTTGAACGATCTGAATCTACCTGAGGGAACGCCCAAACACTTCTTGTACATCAAGGATGTGAATGATTTCAAGCATCGTGTGACACGACGAAGTGATGCGAAGAATGAAAACCTTTCGAGAAACGCAAAGTGCAGATTCTGTGACGACTTCTTCGGATCTCGCAAAGCCGTTCATGATCACGAAGTACAAGTACATCGTGAACTCGTCAATGAGAGCGATCAGTACGATTTGTCAACCAATGAGACTCGGTTACGTTTCACAAACCAGCGATACGAAATGCCAGCACCGGTCGTCGTGTACGCTGACTTCGAGTCAGCCATTGATGACAAGAACAAACACAAGCCAATCATGCTATCATGTCTAGCCGTGTCACGCATTCCAGCCATTGACAGCCAACTGCGAGTCTTCCATGCACCACATGAGAGCGAAGAGGATCTTCGCCCTTTCATGGACTATCTCACACAATTGCAGAGCAGAGTGAAAACGTATCTCTTCGATGAATTACCACTCGAGAACTCTCCAAGCATCGAGAGGGACTTTCGTGCAACAACCGTGTGTCCCTTCTGTCACAAGAAACTGGATAACGACAAAGTACGACATCATGCACATGTGACAGGTGAATACACCACAGGGAAGGGAGAGGTACGTCACTTCGAAGCAGGGCAGTACATCTGCACCTGTTGTACCAAGTGCAATCTCCAACTCTCGTTCAACAAGAAGAACTATCGTCTACCCGTATACTTCCACAATGGATCGCACTACGACTTCACATTCATCATGAAACTCATCGCAGCTCATTCAACCTCTAGTGACTCCTTGGAAGTCATTCCAACCACTGAGGACAAGGAGATGCAGATCGAATACAATGGCATTCAATTCAAGGACTCGTTGAAGCTCATCAGCAGTCCTCTCAGATCCATTGTCGCACAGACACTCGGAGGGAACCTCGATTTGTACATGCACACCAAACAACAACTACGCAAGTACTGTGAATCACGAGGTAAGCAATGGAATGACGAGTACATCGATCTGTTGACACGGAAGGAACCCATGTTTTACAGTCTCATCAAATCGTACGACACATTGAACAATACCACCATTCCTTCTCGTGAACAATGCATTGATGATATGAAGGGAGAAATGATGCCCCAAGGCGAATATGATCACATGGTGAAACTGTGGAAGATCTTCGATATCAAGACATGGGGTGAGTACTACGAGTTGTACAATGTACTCGATGTAACTCTCATGGCTGATGCATTCGAGCATTTCCGAAACACCACACTGAAGGCATTCGGTGTTGATCCGATGCATTACATCACAGCACCACAAATGGCCTATTCGCTCTTCTTAAAGGTCACAATGGAGGGCGATCATAGTGAGAGTAGCCTCATGACCCTCGCAAGGAAATGGGCTCAGTACATCATGCGCATCAACGCGAATGAGGGACTTGAGGAGAAACAACTCGTGAAAGTGTTCTTGAACCGCATGGGTGAGTTCTATGAGAGCAAGGGAATTCGATTGATGGAGACAAATGAGATCGACGACTTCATGCGTCTACTCAAAAACCTTCGAGGAGGCATCACACAGATCGTGAAAAGGCATGCCAAAGTCGACCTTGACAGCACCGCCAACAACGGAGAGCAATCATCCATCTACTACCTCGACGCCAACAACCTGTATGGAGGAGCAATGCACAGAATGATGCCTTATGAAATAGTGGGTGTACCCGAGCGACGAGAAGTAATGGAAAGGATCAACCGTGATCCGAATGAATGGGTGCAATCACTCAATACGTTCGGCAAGTATGGGTTCTTCATCGAGTGCGACATCGAGGCACCAGTGGAACTCCATGATAAATTCAATGACTTACCATTCTTCCCCGTACAGAAGGCGGGCATGTACTCCGATGGAATCAAGAAGTACGCAGAGAAGAACGACATTGTGGACAAAGTGAAAGAGGTGAATACACCGAAGCTCATCTGCGATCTTGTGCCTCGGCGCAAATATCTCGTACACTACTCTCTGCTGCAATTGGGTCTTCAACAGGGTTATCACGTCACGCACATCCACCGCCTCATTCGATTCAAACAAGCACCCTTCATCTTCGAATACGTCAATATGCTCAGTGAAAAACGAGCCAAGTCCAAGACTACTGTGGAGAAGAACCTGTATAAGCTGTTAGCAAACTCAACCTATGGCAAATTCGTTGAGACTGGACTGAAGCGAATGAAGGTGAAGTTCGCCAACACGTGGAATGAACGCGAGGCTATCATTCAGAAGCACGGATACGACATGATTGCTGGAACAACCATGTATTCCGAGAATCTCATCGGCATCAAGCTGAACACACCGGTGCGCAGAGTGGAGAAGCCGTTCTTCATCGGGTTCGCTATCCTCGACATGTCGAAGCACATCATCTACGATTTCTACTACAACGTGCTCAAGACGACATTCAACAGTGTGGAGTTGTTGGGACAGGACACGGACTCGCTCATCGTGCAGTTGAACGACCGTGGTAACATCGTCCACAAAATGTGCGATATGTACAAGTCGTTTGACTTTTCTGAGTTGGATAATACGAGCTACTTCTACGGAGAACTCGTAAAATACTACGAGCATGAAGTGGACAAGAGAAAGTTCCCTTCATTGGAATCATTCCTCAACTTCAACAAGAAGTTGCCGGGACCCATATTCAAGGATGAGCATAACGGGCATCGCATCACTGAATTCGTGGGACTTAGACCAAAGATGTACTGTTTGATTGACGAGAAGCATGTAGTGCATAACGCAGCGAAGGGAGTTCCTCGCAATGTGGTGATTGATGGAGAGAGGATGAGCGTGAAGAACATCGAGCTGTACAAGCGCGTCCTTGAGGCAGAGAAGAAGGAAGATGCAGTGATCGAAGGTACTTTCAAGCGTATCAACAACCAGGCCTTCAATATCAGCACGAAGGAGCAAACCAAGACCCTCATGACTTGCACGGATAACAAGAGATGGATCTTGGACGACAACATACACACACTTGCATTCGGGCATTATAGACTGAAGTAAAGGAAGCAATCTTTCACTTTGGACAACCATGGTATCCATGGCCTACAATGGAAGTCAGGTTAACATTGCAGGAATTGGCCGAAATTGGCAGCCATGGGTTTCCGCGCGTTTCTTGTTATGGACATCGAGGTGAGCAGGTAGACAATGGCAGGAAATGGCCGAAAATGGTCGAAAATGATCACATTGACCAGCAATAACAACCATAATAGTCATGGATATCGCACATTTCAGCACTCGTGTTTTACTCATGAGTGCTGAAATTCTTATGAAACGCAAAAATCAAGGTACCAGTTGAGGGGGTCTGAGGGGTGACTTTGGGGGATTTTTTGTGTTCTGACGGGAATACGCGAAAACAAAGATGGGGTCAGAGGGGCGACTTTGAGCCGCGCACTCTCGTAGATGAGGTCGGAGGGGCGACTTTGGGTTCCGCGCATCTATCGCCTTTTCCCTACTACTTGTATCATTTATGAAACTCCGGTCGCATTATTGTGGTTCCTATTTTTGTTTAGTGATCAATAATTATTATGGTTGAAGTTTTCCCTTCTTTTACATATCAAAAACTGATGAAAAGAATTGATTGCGTTTGAATATGGTAACCATTAGCTAATGGCGGTATTGTCATTGTTTAGGTTGAGAATTTGGTATGGTCTCTATTTTTCTATTCGAGCAACTTAGAATAATAGAGAATCGGGAATATTTTCTGGTCCAGGACCTAAATACTTAAAACGAACTCAGTCCTCATCCTCTAGTATTATTCCACTTATTTTTTGAATATGCTTATATCTTTGGCCTATAAAATTGATTAGCTTAAAGTGGTGGGAAGTTGATGGATTTACTACATACAATCAATTCGATTTATCACTTAATTGGTTATCAGATAATGTGTAGATTAGTATCCACTCACTATTTTTGTAGGAATTGAATGTACTGACATAGAATCCCTTGTTCCACGTGTGTTGTTCATGTAGTTTGTTTAGAAGCTATTCTTTATTATAATTCTTATATTTATTATAAGAAATAGATGATGGGCATGATTCCTTTGTATTTGAATGAAATACCTCTTTTTTTGAATGATTACTGTGTATGTCCATACTATTTTGTATGGATCAGAGTTATTATCTCTAAACACCTGGTTCTTCGCAATCTCACACTTTACATATAGAATATGAGTAATTATGAATTCTTTTTTTAGAAATAAGCACTTTTATGTACTTCTCGAAAATATTCTATCACTCTGTGTACGAAATGTGTTGCAAGAGAATAGTAATAAGTATATCTACAATCTACTCCATTCTGGTGTTGGAAAATATACTATGATTCACATAAAGCACTTAGTAGCTTGTCTTTTCTTCTTTTTATGATTCCTTTCTTTTCTATTCGCGATTCTATCACATGAAATTACTTCTGAACGCTAATTATTGATTATACTACCTTGGTAATACATAGAACAATGAGATTACAAATTAAGCTGTTGCGCATTCTTCTGTTTGACTTTGCACTAATTTATCGCATTTCTAGTACACTTTTCACACAAACTTTCTTATATGACAACAGTTAATACCAAGTTTACAATTTGGAAACCAATTTCAAATCGCTAGTTACTAACAAACTAGAAACAAATGGAACTTCGGTCCTGTTTCAATTATTACGGAGAAGAAGCTTCAGTTGGATGGAAGCTATTGTACCGATTCTGGATAGCCTCTACAAAAGCCGGGTTTTCTACAATGACGATAGAATAATAACGATTACCTGAGAACTCGCCACTAACCTCGGAAGCATTCATGAATGACTGATTTGTTTCCGCCTGATTGACAATTTTCAACGACGCCTTAGGTATACCTATACTAAAAATAGTTGTAGTTAGAATATACCATATAAGAAGACATTTGTAGTCGTAACGAAGTTGTTAAGTCTGCATCTGAAATTGGTGAGTTTGGGCAGAGCTATTTGATTATTTATTATTTCAATGATTATTACAAACTAATTTCAAATTAACAGATGTACTCTCAGCAACAATTTGACCACGCAAAGCATTGGCATAAAGATCAACAGTATGTAACTGATAATAAACCTTTTGGTATTGAAAATTATCATAGCTTATTTAAAATATGATATCAATTGTCAATTGAATTGTTTGGTTATTTATCTTCATATTTCAAAAAAAAGAAATGTGAAATCTAATAACAAACTATCAATTGTAATACTCCTATAATTATACTTTCAATCAGAGATAATAGATAAGAGTTCTGCAATCCATCCAATTTCAAGTTGTACCAAAAGGGCAACCCACTGAGAGTAGATCGGCCATTGTATATAGAAATATTACGCTTACTAATGATAATATCTATTTATTCATGTATTGTAATAATATGCAATACAGAGCATCGCTTTCGATACTTTGCTTTAGGAATCACAGCCACCATCTGATTATAACAGTTCTTCTTATCTATATTTCTTCCAAATTGATTTTGACTTGTGAATGTCCATTTATTCTTAATTAGCTATTGGTTCTGTCTATTCTGTTAGCTGAATTGACATATATGATTCAAAAAACAGACTATAAAATACCCTTTTTAGGCTTGTTATTTGTAACCTTCCCCAGAGAATGGGTACATCAGTTTTATACTTTTTACATTACCCTCACTCTCTTGTAATAGAGTTAGCAGGAAGTTATCATTAAATTATCGTCGTTTTTTTATTTATTTTTATTTAAATATGATAATTAGCGTATTTATTTCATTTCTGTGACATACTTCGGTATATCGCAAAGATAATTCTATCCATAGAGTAGTTTTCAGCATTTCTATTCTAGTAATTACAATTTCGTGACCACATCAATTTCCAAACTATTATCTTACTTTGTCCAAGCCAGTTCCAGTGTTATTAAAAAAGGAAAAAATATAACACAGAATCATTCCATTCCATCTTTGATTTATAAGCGTAGCTCTTCCAGTATTAGGTGTTCTCATCTTTTTGCTAGTATATAGAATGGCTCATTGTTTGTTAACAAATATATCAAATAGAATTACTCTATTGGGAATAAGTCATATACGAAATGCTTGTTCCAACATTACCTTGTTAGAAAATTATGCAGGGTACTTGAAATATCTAAAAATAATTTATAACATTTATTCATTACTATTTATCATTTTTACTTTCGCTTTACTAAATGCCCTACCCTCATTACAGTCATTTATCACAATACTTTCAAGATTGGGAACATCTATATAATATTACGTCTTTTCAACTTTATAGTTACCAAAGAACACAGTTAAGCGAGTTTCAATAAAGCTGCCTCCCTTCTCATTCGTGATTGATTGTAGTGAAGGAAGATCTATATTCACTTATTTATGTATTATTATTATTCACCTCGCATTAGCAGTACACAATGTTCGTCATTATCTCTTCCATTAAGAGAATAAGATCCCAAATTAATAGTTATTAAAGAAGGTAGATCTATAATTATTATGTCATATGATCGAGTCAATTTACCTTCCATTATAGTCCTTAATGATTCCAGAAATGTGGCATCGCCTAATACAATCGACTTAAGATTCGGAAGATCTAAATGTTTATAATCTGAAAAATACAATAGTATTACTTTGAACAACAAATGAAGTCCAATAGAAATTCAATGAAGACTTCCCAATATCACCGATTTTAATTGTCTCTAATTTTTCCAAATTATCTAATTCAAAGTCACCAGCAAAATCAGCAAAACTAATCATTCCAACTTCGAGCGATTTTAATGATTGGCAATTCAATATATGGAATGATTTCGATTCATTCCAGCATTTCTCTATTGAAGCATCCCAGTCCGTCAATAAATCAGTTTCTGTTATTTCTGTAAATGAATATTTTCCGATTTTGATAGTTTTCAAATGATCCAATCCATCGATTTCGAATTTTTGGACATTTTTAAAACAGGAGTCACCAATTTTAATTGACTCTAAACCATAAAATCGATTCAAATTAAGTTCAGTCATATCCGATACATTATTGAAACTATTATTTGGAATAACTAAATTCTTTAGCGATGAGCTCAGTTCATTCATGTCGTCCGAGGGAGGTTTGATGATAGGAATTAGTCTAGACAATGATTCATTTACATCTATATATTAGAAACACTACATCTCAAATTCAATACTGGATATTTTTGATATTCTCACACTTTCAAATGGTATGTCGTCATCTACTTCACTTAGTGACACATTTTCAATGTTAGGAATATCTATATCGTTTTATATCATATCTATATTTAAGTGTACTTTCCATAATAATTGAGCGAGTTGCCGTAAAGCTGCCTCCGAACTCATTCGTAATTGATTGTAATGAAGGAAGATCTATAATCATTTATTAAAACCCATTCATTGAATACTTCGCATTACCAGTTTACAATTTTCTTCATAAAGATCTCCATGTAATGAGCTGAAACCTAGATTGATAGATAGCAATGAAGGAAGATCTAATTAGTTATTCCATATTCATTGTGTAATATTACTTTCCATGATTGTTAATTTTGCAAAACTAAATGCACTATTACCTAATTCGACCTGTTTTAAATTCGGAAGATCTATAAATTCATTAAACCATCCACTTCATCGTATTACCTCGTATTATAAACGAACAACATATGAAATTCATTGACAAATCCGAAAAGTCGCCTATTCTTATTGCCTCTAAATTATCCAAATTCTCCAATCCAAATTTGCAATTAAAATCAGCAAAACTAGATTGACCAATTTCTATACTTTTTAATGATCCACAATTCTTAATATCGAATTCTTTCACATCCTTTAGGCATTGCATTAGTGATTCAATAAAGTTGTCATCAAAGTCATCTGATTTTACTTCAGTAAATGAGTTCTTGCCGATTTTGAGTGTCTTCAATCGATTCAATCCTTCGATTTTGAATGTTTTCACTGAGCCAAAGCAATCATCGCCGATTTCGATTGATTCTAAATTGTACAACAAGGAAATATCCCAATCAACCAATACACAATTGTCAGTCAGTTTCAAATGCTTCATTCCGATATTCAGTGGTTCTGAGCCATCTCCTTCATATTTACCTTCAGTATCACATTCAGTTCCATTGTACCATTCACAATCTTTCACCAAATTGCCTGATCGATCATACACTTTTCCACTTCCAAATCGCTTATCATCACACCAATATCCTTCATATTCAACCTCTCCATTATCATGATAACTCGTTCCATATCCAAATCGTTTCCAATTGATCATTATACCCTTGTACACCAAGAATCCATGAGCATCATACATTTCACCATATCCAAATGGAATTCCACTTTTCCCTTCTTTTTCTTTTTCTTTTTCTGTCAATACCAAGCCTTCAAATCGACTTCCATGATCCAGATCCACGATTCCTTCTTCTACTACTACTGTGGATTGTTCTTCATTATAGGAAATAGCACCAATTTGATGATTTCCAAACACTTTCAACACTTTCTCATCATCCATCGCAAATCCTTGATTCATAAGCACTCCATTATTGAGCTGCAATACTACACATTCTCTGTTACTCAATATGAGTGAAATCCAGCCATTCGGTTTCATTTCTTTACCCAAGCATCCCTGCACAACTTGGATGATGGAACTATCAATATGATAGTTACTAATAGCAGAGTTGACAAAATCAGCAATGTTTTGCATCGAAATAAAAAAAAATATGAGAAAACGGTTTATTTAGAAACAAGATCTGTTATTTTTCATCGCACAGAGTTACGAAATCATCAGGTTCTATATTCAAATGACTTGTACATATTATGTATAAATAGTTTTTTACATTGGAGTTGCCTTACCTTGGCTGTCACCGGTTAATGCAAGTTTTGGTTCTGTTGTATTTTTAATAATACACAGTATTGTATTTAACTCCTAAATATTATGCTAATGCAATTATTTTTCTCACTGGTTTTTCATTTCTTTTCTCCTCTGTATCTCGTTCTGTGTTTTTTATGTAGTCAAACATATTATTACGTTCCAAGTGTTCATGTTCTTCATTTCTATCCGCTCCTATTCAAAGGCTGGATTGTGTTTGTTTGTTCACATTTACCTATTAAAACGATGGTAATATTAGAATCCTTTGACATTGAGTCCTGTTTCATCGCTCCACAGTCAGTAGTCCCCATTGATAGAATTAACAATAAGACCTGTCGCTTATTCTATGCAAGACAGATAGAACTCGAACCTAATTCCGATTTCAAGATGCTGAATCAATGATATCCCCAGCAATCTTGATATTCACTCCAGCTTGCATTCTAGTCTAGTGGTATAACGAATTATAGTATAGCTGCTTTCGTACTATCAAATTTTCGGTTTCGCAGAGACTTATAGGAAATTGTGCCGTCAATCAAATTTTATCACCTACAATTCCAATAATCAGTGAATATGATAAATTGTGGAAAAGTAACACTGAAATACTCATTCCAACTCTACAAGGGAAGAAGAATATAGGGTAGTCAAATGGAATGAAATCAAGTGATCGATTATGAAGTTTCCTATTTTATTCACATAAACCCCGTAGAACGAGCACAAACTCCTGTATACTCTCCTCGTATCTCGCTTATGTTTCCAACAAACAATCCATTAAAAAGATCTTTTATTCATCCACTTCACTGCTTAAATCTTCTTCTTGATAATCTCCAGTTGCTCAATCACTCCCTCCACTCCAGCAATCGCAGAATCCACCAACAACGCATCGCATCCAGGCAGGCAAATCTTCTCCACAGCCTTCAGTTCATCACGAAGCAGCTGGATTCGCTTCAGATAGTCGTGCTTTTCGATCTGCAGCGACAGCGTCGTGTTCCAGCTTCCAGCGCCTCCGAACTGGACCGACCCCGGGTTGCAGTAGTCGTCCTTCACAGCCCAGCTGTCGCGATGAGCCACGAACTTCAAGAACGGAGCATCGTTCATATCCACGTTCGATTCCTACACTTCAAACCACCCATTCTCCATCTACAGGGATCGAGGGACGATACACTCCCTGCTTCGCTTCCACGGTGCAGAAGGCCAGAAGAGGCACCGCATAGGGAATCCATTCCGACGGTTCCTCCTTCAGATTCCGCAAGGTCGCCATATATCCGGTGAGATTGTTCTGAATCAGCGCGGCCGCCTCTCGTCCCAAAGCATACGCATAGTCGCAGTCGAACAGAGAAGGGAACGAGGTTCGAGCCTGATAGCCGAGGAAGTGAGTCTGATAATCGAAGTGTCCGTTGTAGCTTCCCTCTTCCTTACGACGCTGCAGTTCCTTCTTCACCAAATCGCCGATCATGACTTCCGTCGAAATCGCGTGGAGTTGGAAGCTTCCGCGCGATTCGGGAGGATTGAAGATCTGCTTCTGGATCACAGCAGGCAAGAAATCGAAGAGCGCCTTGCTCCACGGCGTGAGCTTCGCGTAGATCTCCTCGTGCTTCATTCCCTTGTTCACATAGGTCGAAATCTCGTCCAGCAAATAGTAGAACTCGGAGATCGCCTTGATCAAACCCTCCGGAATCAGCACCACGCCATAGTTCAATCCCTTCTCAGCGCGCTGGCAAATCATATCCGCGATCTTGTTCACCACCTGCAGCAGCGTCATTCGCTTGGCCGCCACTTCCTCCGAAATCACCGCATAGTTCGGATGGCTCTGCAAGGCGGATTCCAGCACCACGTGGGAAGGAGAACGGCCCAGCAGACGAATGAAGTGGTAGTACTTCGCAGCGGAGCGCGAGTCCGTGCAGATGTTGCCGATCAGCTGCGAGACGGTGCGGCAGAACGTGTCGAAACCCACCGTCGTTTCGATGAAATGGTTCTTTAAATCGCGGGAGTAGTCGCAAGGAACCACCACAATGCGAGTCGTTACGCCACTGTTCAGGAAGAACTCGGTGAGAAGAGTGGCATCCGTGGCCGTGTAGGCGCCTCCGATCAGCACAAGACCATGGAGATTGAGCTTCGTGCAAGTGGCAACCACTTTCGAGTAGTCTTCCTCCGAAATTTTATCGGCAGAACGACCCAGAAGATCGTAGCCGCCCATGTTGCGATACAGCTTCAGCTTCTCTTCCGTCAGCTCCACGGAAGATCCTTCGAACAGACCCGACGTACCTCCGATAAAACCGTAAAGCTTGCTGTTGGGATTCATTTTGTGGAGGTAATCGAACACGCCGGTAATCACATTATGGCCTCCAGAACTCTGACGACCACAGAACACAATACCAACGTTCAGAGCATCCGTGCGGCCCTCTTCACTAGAATTACTTAACAATGCAAACGGAGCGTACTCTACAAACTTCATGATAGGATAATGAATCGAGTTGGGGAAGTAGCCTTCAAGAAGAGGACGGTCGATATCTTTGAAGGTGGTGTGATCGAAGAACTCCACCTAGCTGTTAGCTCGTTCACAGATACACTACATTGACCTTTTCCGGATTTTCGAAGCAAGCCGGATAGCGAGGCTTGTAGTTGATTCGGTCCTTCGCAAGAGGGCTCAGGTCCTCGATGTTTCGCTCTCCCTCATCAATGTGAATGTTTCCGGTCTGAATAGATTCAAAGGTAGCCATGAGATATTATCAAACAGTGAATATTTGGGAAGTGGGGATGAATGGCTCTAAGAAACCAAACATTAGGAAGTTTCAGCATGACGACACACGCAACAGGATTAATACATTTGCTTCAAAAAAACATGCGTAAATCCATTTTTATTTCTTAACTACTTTTTTATTTTTAGAAAGGCTTTTAGTATACTTTGAAACATAGGAAGCTTCACCAAGAGCGGTACGTTTGTGAAACACTGAGCATGTCTTTAGTTTCGACTTCAAAAATTTATAAGCATGAACAGGATATCGGTAAGACTGTTGCAGTTCATATGCCATTTGTCCATAGCTACTTCCATGAGAATAGATTAGATAGTCACTTTCCTTGAGAATAAGAAGGTCTAAGATAGCACGGTTCATAAATGAGTCTCTTTGTTTTTCTCCATACCTCATGGATTTTCCAATGGCGCTGTGTCCAATCCTCCAATCCTTTACACTATAAACGATGTCTGTTCCATTTCTATTGAGTTGTTTCTTTATTTCCTTCAGAGCATACGAGGAATCTGTCGAAACAAATACATACACATCTTTTCGATCCCAATTTCGAATCTTTATGTAGTGTTCTACCCTTTCTACGAAGCGAGTGATACAGTGCGGTCCTAAGAACACCTTCTCGTTGTAATTCGCTTTGGTCCCTCCCAACCGCATCTGAACACCGATCATTTTTCTTTTTCTCAAGATCTTTAAGTGCTTGTTCACAGCTTCGCATAAATACCTTTGGGGATTCAAGAGAACTGGCAGTAATGCTGATCGGAAATGGATGCCCATCACAATGTCTTTGTATGGTTTTGTGATGTTGGGAATGATTCCAAGCTCGGTCAATTGATGCTGGTAAAACTTCGATAAGAGAAACTTTGACGTCATATCGGAATACGTCGACAGCACGAGAGCCGGAGACTCCCAGGATTCGTTCAAATGCTGAGAGAGAAGTCGCTGCGTGCTGACTTGATCTGGGTAGAACTCCCAGTAGGCGTGGTTGAGACTGTGCGTGGCTAATCGATCAAAAGAAAGCAAACACAAGAACGTGCTCTAAATTCCTTGGGGAAAGGAGGGATGAAATAGTGAAAGAAGAAATCTCTGGGAGCTTTTACTACGATTGAATGTCGCCACTCTCTACATACTTTGAATTGCTCGGTTGGTGAGAATGGCGACAGCCATCGCAGTGATATATCCGCGAATCATGTTTCCGAGACCGGCATCTTTGTGGATTTTGTAAATAACGACGCGGCCTATTTTTCTGTGGTACGTTTGGTTCGCTGAAAACTGCTTGAGGAATGCGTTAAACAGGGTTTGTTGGCGGTTAATTGCGACAGGAGAGAGTTCCGGAACTTGGATCACACGAAGATAGGGAGATACTTTTCGGCCTCGCCAATGAGCAGCACGGGCAGTGGCAAACATCAGGGGCTCCAGGGTGGATACAGAGGAAGGATTGAATAATTCATCGTCAAGATCTTCATTGTCTGTTGTAGATTCGTTGGAGTCGTTGGATTCATTCGATTCACTTGCTTCATTTCCTTCATTCAATTCATTCGATTCACTCGCTTCGTTCGATTCATTCGATTCATTCGATTCATTTCCTTCATTGGATTCATTCCCCTCACTCGCTTCGTTCGATTCATTTCCTTCGTTGGATTCATTTGATTCACTCGCTTCGTTCGATTCACTCGCTTCGTTCGATTCACTCGCTTCGTTCGATTCATTCGCTTCGTTCGATTCATTCGCTTCGTTCGATTCATTTCCTTCATTTCCTTCGTTGCCTTCGTTGCCTTCATTCGATTCACTCGCTTCGTTCGATTCATTGGAGTCATTGGAGTCATTGGAGTCATTGGAGTCATTCGCTTCACTCGATTCATTGCCTTCATTGCCTTCATTCGATTCACTCGCTTCGTTCGATTCATTTCCTTCATTCGCTTCACTCGATTCATTGCCTTCATTGCCTTCATTGCCTTCATTGCCTTCATTGCCTTCATTGCCTTCATTCGATTCATTCGATTTATTCGACTCATTCGATTCATTCCCCTCACTCGATTCACTCGCTTCACTCGCTTCACTAATATCATCTACCTCACCAGCTACTCCCTCTCTATGCTCATTCTCACTTCCTTGCTTTTCCTTTTCAACACTACCACTCGCATCTTCACTGTCAGCAGACGGTGACGCCTCCACACTCGCTTTATCGAATATCTCTTCATGCTTATTCACTGAAGGAATAGTTGCCAGTGAAGCCTTGTTCTCTGAAATAGGATTACTCGGTACTCCATCACTCCTCTCATTTACATCTTCCACGTTCGAATTCTTGTTAACAACATTTGCACCGTTACTTTTATCCTCTATGCCTCTTCCGTCATCTCCATGGTCATTCGTGTTGTCAATAATAAAGGATTGTTGAGTTTCTGAAGAATGCTTAAAAATGGTGCCATCTCTGATATTCTCACTATTTGCCTACCCATTATATTCACATATTACCGAGCTACCATATTACCATTACTAGACTCTCGTAGTATGTCTTCTCTAAACACTCTAACCATTACGAGAAAAAGAGACTCCTACTTTGTTTCAAAATGATTGTAATACCATTTCACAGTATCCGCTTTCTGAACAAAAAGACCATCCACATTCCCCTTGCTATGGTTCACTTTCACCAATTGTCTCCATGCCAAACAAAAGGAGACAGCAAAAAAGAGTATCAGAGTGATTTCAGTGAAATGCATCAAACGACTTTGCCAACAAACACGGCACATGGCGACTCATTCCAAATTAGAAAACATGAGTTGATCTCTTGCTAGGAGGAATGAGGTCCTCAGGCAGAACATCGGGAAGCGGCTTTCCAGCCATCTTTTCGTTCACTAGCCACATGGCAACAGCAAATTCTCCAGCGTCCATCTTTCCATCTGCATCAATATCGGCCAGCTCCCAGATCTTGCGGAGATCGTTCATCTCCAAGTCACTCTTCATCAAAACCGCCTTCACAGCGCTTCCAGAAGCCTTTCCATTGTTCTGCTTGAGCGTAGCAAACACATTATCGCACTCCTGCTTGTGAGCCTGGGTGATGCGCCAAGTAGCGACTCCCTTCTCGAGCTCCACCTCGGCGAAGGGATTCTCTGCCTGGGGGTTCTCGTCCTCCTCGCCTTGCTGCGGCTTGGGAAGCATGTTCATCACCTCGGGGATATCGTGAGCCAAGACCTCGTCCAACGCGTCGAACAACTCGGGCTTGTATTTGGGGAACGTGCTGAAATCCATGTTGGCCACGACTTGCAGGAATCGGTCCAGATTGGGGAAATCGCCTACGCGTCAGCTCACCGCACGCAGCACGCACTGGGCGGAAGACGGTACTCCGTTTGGATCATCTGGAAGATTTCGGGCATCTGGTCCAGCAGCTCCTGCTGCTTCTTTTGCTACGGGTCAGAAGTCGCATCCATTCGCACCTTGCCGAACATCTTGGGAATCTGCTTTCGGAGATACGACAGCAGCAGCGCGTGGGCCTTCGACACGCGAGCACGACGCACCAGGTCGTTGATTTTGCGAAGCAAGCAATTGCCGGGCAGGCCGCGGAGATCGGCAAAGAGATCCATCTGCTCCACGGCAAACAAATCCTTGAAATAGTCGTACCGCAGCGGCTGGTCCCAGAAGGAGCCGAGGTACACACGCGTGACCTCCGGGTTCTTGATCACGCGGCCCAGAGACCACATCAGCGCTCCATAACTAGATCCTAACGCCTCCCCTCCTGCTCTACATTCGCATCAGCTGCTGCTTCTCCACACTATCGGCCTTGTTCAGCACCACGCGGATCTTATCGTCGTTGCCCTACAGACTCGATCTCGCTCCCCGTCCACTACATGCAGCGCCTCAATGGCAGCCTTCATTTCATCACTAATATCGAGCTTGTGGGCGTCGAACAGGATCAGAATTCGATCTGCACGGTCCGCGAAGTAATGGATCACCTCCGCGAAGTCGTACGTTCGGTTCAATCGCTGCTTCTCTCCCGATAAGACACCGGGCGTATCGATGAATGTGATCGACCGCAGCACGGGAGAGGGAACCTGCACCACCTCGAAGCGGTTGAGGAAGCCAGAGCCGAATTGCTGCAGAGAATTGAACGGAAGGTCCGCGGACACGGCAGCAGCATTTCCCGGAATCACACGCTCCGTGTCTCCGTACATCACAGAGATAAATTTGTCCGTGGTGGGCTCCGGTCCTACACGCATTCCCTGGTAGTCGCATTCAAGCAGGTAGCGAATGAAGGAAGTTTTACCGACGGAGTACTGACCAATCAGAAGCACCATCGGCTTCGCCTCAAAGTCCACATCGTTCATGAGGGTCTCGTAAAACTTGTCGTACATGTAAGTTTCTTCGATGGGTCGCATCTTTTCGGAATAACTGAAGAGTCAGTCCACAATCGCATGTATTCGTACATTCTCTGCACACGCTGAGTGATTTCACGAATCACAGGATTATCCTGACCAAAATAATCTCCCGCAGTCTCTATAGCCAGCGTGAGATATTTCCAAGCGAAAAAGCAAAACACCTACGAGACTTTGCCACACGAGGCTTGGGACTCTTAGGCGTAGAAGCGGCAGGGGTAGAGCTCTTTTTTGCAGGTCCATACCTTGCCTCAAGCTCACTGAACAACTGCTCCTCTCTTCCCTACAAGTTAAGTCCTCACAAGAGAATCTACAGCGTAGGCACTCAGAATCTGATCCACCATGTTCAGCTTCTCGGGGTTGTATTGCTTGTAAAATTCAACAAGCCTGGAACGGTTCGCTTCATCTACGCCATAATCTTCAAATTATTTCGCCTCACAATTCTATGATGATTATAAAACAAAATCAAGAACCTACCGACGACATATCTACTTTACAAATACGCTTTTTTGGATGCATTTCCTTTAGGTATGAATGAAACTCCCATGTAAAACCATTTTGGATCCGAATAGTATTTAAACACAACTTTAGTGTCTACTTGGAGCTCTCACTCTGTTCCATTCACTCGCTTTGTTGGGAACAAGTGAAACAGAAATGAAATCTCTGTTTCGCCGCGATTCGCTATTTCGTTTTACAGTTATACAAAGTTAATATTTTGCAAATGTGGTTCCATCAAACAAAGATCTTTCAACTAAGGTCATACACTTTGAATGTTTAGCTTTGAAAACTCAGATTCCAGAAAATCACGAAGAGAAAACAACTACAATCAACACCTTTCACCACTCTACACCTGTGCCTTGATTTTTCCGACCGGAATCGAATGGTTTGCTAGTCCAACCAGGAGGTACTTTCCACAGCAGGAAGTCACAACAGCATTACATTGCTACACTTTTATTAACCAAGGGAAAGATACTTCATAAGTGTATATTTGATACTTTAGTGGATCTCCATCCAAAATATTAAAACCATTCCAACAGCGGCCTAAAGAAGATAGAAAAACTCCCTCGTTGCTCATTTGCTTTATTGTTGACATCATTACTTCACCGTTCATCGATAAACTACCAATCATTTCAAAACTCCTCTCTTTACCTAAACTCGACCCCTGATGATTCTGTTGCATCAGTGAATGTCTTCCGAAGGTTCCGAACCGACAACATAAGAAGATCAGTAGGATAAAGTGAACTACCCGCTGAATATCCGAAATTCCCGCTTTTATCGCCTTCTCAAACGAAAGCAAATAAAGGATTAAGAGAGATAGAAGGGGGTGTAGTACGTGTAGTATTTGATTAGGGGTGTGTTTGGAGAGAAGAAACAAGAAAATAGAGAGCGAGTTGGTAAATAGTATTATTGGCTGGGTGGCTGGCTGGGTGGCTGGGTGGCTGGCTGCTTACGTACTTACTAATTTGTTTGTCTGATTGCCTGCCTGCCTGCCTGCCTGCCTGCCTGCCTTTTTGCTTACCTGCTGGTTTTACTATCAACTTGAGTCTGAGACAAGGACTTGAGAAGGGATAAAATCCTATGGATATATAGGTTTATATATTATGATCAATCTGCTCGTTACTGTACTGTACTTTTCCACATGAAGTACTTTTCGAAAGAGTAAACATAAACACAATTGCCATCCGTGAAATAGATTTTGCTTTATGGTACTTATTCTTCTGCCCTTTACACTCGAATTGCAATGTCCCTGTCACACAAAGTGCAATAGTTTCCATAATTTGTACATTCCTATTTCGATTCAAAATCCTTACCAACTGATTGGATTCAAGTCTGCATTGCACATTTCATTTTTTGCCTTCTTTGGGGATTGCTTTCTTGACTTAGAACTTGTTCATATAGCATGTCAAATCAAGAAGGAATTCAAAATGCTTATTGTGACGGAGTTCGTGGTATGATCAAGTATGACTTGTTTTTTCTTGTTTATTTCTCAGCTACATGATGTACCAACATGTTCCAAGATCTTATGGGCAGCTGAATGAGTTTCTTCCTCACCACTTGTATTATGATCGAATCCTTCCTCCATTCGCTATGAAAATGGTTCCGGCATCCAACATTTGCAACCGTTTCGTTATCAAGCGAAGCATGCGTTATCGAGAAAAGGCAACACCCACGTCTGCAGTGTGGTTTCCAGACAGTGATTTTGTTGTGACTTCCCTTAACAATGGAACGTTAGTAAAGTGGGATGCTGTAACTTACACACATAAGGGCCGAAAGAGCGTGTCGAATACCTCTATTAACTGTATGCGACTTAGTCATGATGGCCAATTTATTATTGCAGCGGGAGATAATGGAAATGTCTTTTACCTGACAAAAGCTCTTACAGAAAGCTGCCCTCTTAAAAATGACCAAGAAAGCATTCTAGCTTGTGCCATTTCGGCTCGAGACAACTATGTCATCACGGGAGGCGACAACAAATATATCAAAGTGTGGAAAATTGCAGCCAATGAAATCACATTCGAGCGCAATCTCGGCGGTACGCGTGCCTTTCCTTCCTTCATTGTAGAACTGCAGAACAGCGTCACTTCTGTGGATGCCAGCGGTGTGGGCAGCCTGGTTCTCAGCGGATGCAAAGACGGTTCGGTCGGCGTGTGGGACCTCCGCACTCGAAAGTCCCTGAAGCGTCTGTACGTCCTCATGAGAGGGTTGATCGCTAGAACGGACAACGACGAGCAGATCAACGTCGTGCGGTTCTGTCCCACCAACGAGAATTACTTCATAACCGCGGGGAAGGGCCGCACAATCCGCCTGTGCGTCTGTGGCGGTCCGTTGAGGTGTAGATACGACGCACGCACCTTCTGCCAGCTTCGCAACTTCCGAGGGCACAACTACGACATAACGGCGTTGGCTTTCAGTCCCGAGGATGGAACGGTGTTTGTGTCCGGCGACTATAACGGCCATTTGAACTACTGGTCGATCTAGTGAGTCTGCACGTGCTTTCTAAGCGGTAGCAACGAATTGCCGCTCTACACGGCGACCAAGGCACACGACAGATCCATCAAAGACATCTGCTTCTCTCCGCTCTCGCTCGCGATGGTCTCGTTAGGGTTCCTTCTCTCTGCCTTTTCTCATCCAGAGATGACAACTATATCAAGTTCTGGCAGCGAAATCGCCCCGGAGACCGCGAAGAATTGGTGGCTTCGAACTTCGCCACCTTCCGAAGTGGGTTTTGGAGCAGAAATCGCCTATCCTCGTAGTTCCAATGAGTCGAAACATCGACTATTCCACCAACGAGTCGTTTAAAATCGACCTGATGATCCCTTCCATCGGCAAAATCGATCAGGGTTGGATCGGTTCGCTTCGGTGATCGCTAGACAACGTCTCCACAGTCAACATGCAGCTGCCGCCCGCTTCCAGCGCCGCTTCCAGCGCCGTTTCCTTCGAATCGCGCTGCGAAGATCAGGCGTATTACCGAGAAGACGACAGCGAGAAGTAGGCGAGGCGGGGGAGAGTAAAGAGCAGGCCACCGCGGAATTTCTGCTGTATCCGATGCGATCGAAATGGACATTGGTCCCACAAATGCGATAACACGCAGAAGAAGTCCATTTGCAGTCGATGCCAGGGAGACCACTTCATTGATGTTTGTCCGTACAGAGCCGATGTGGGGCCAGCGTATGAGTGCAAAGAGTGGGAATTCCGTTTTCTGTGGGAGATGTAGATGTCGAGGAAATCATTACAGGGATGATTGTCCGAAGATTATGTAGGAGAGAGGAGATGGGATTAGGAATAGTCGGAACCGAAAAAAGACGTGCACAGCTCCTTTGCACTATGTAAGATAGAGGGAAGATTACTAGCGTAGAACAATCTGATCCGTATTCAGGAGGGGAAGCCTACGGTAAAAGAAATATAATTTGTTTGTTTGTTCTGTTTGTTTGATCAAAAACAATCATGTCACTTGTGGATTCGATTCCACTATCTTTGGTAGCGTCGCAGCTTCCGAGTTGTGACTGCTATGATGTCTGTGACATCTGTGTCTTTAGAAACTTCAAGTGGCTTCTTTGTGCTCGATCCAATGTTATTTGCATATATAAGTCGGTTATGACGGTCGATCCATCACTGCTAAAAGAAGGGTTACTCACGCTGCACCAAATCATCAAGAATCCCTATAGAGAAGAAGAAATTACATCGATCAGGTGGTGCAAGTCGAGTGTTACAGCCTTTTGTGAGCGTGGTGAGTTTATTGTCGCCTGTGGAGCCATTCTCACTGTATTCGCACCACTATCGCTCATGAGCTTGGCACCGACTTTTGAATCTTTTAAGGTTTCCAATGTGTTGGTTCCTGTTATGTGTAGTGGGATTGTCGTGGTGTATGTGGCATAAAGGGAGGAGCGAGCTTCATAAGTTGGAGCAGTGACTCTTCGCTTCTTGTAGTTGGTGGAAACTGTCTCACGGTTCTTAAGCGTGAAACCGAGTTAGGAGATTCTTCTGGGGCGATTCATTTCAAGCCAGTTTTTGAGCAGCCGCAGCCATCTCCTGTTATTGCAGTCTCTCTTTCTTGTGATGGTCGATTCTTTGCGTCCTTGAATGAGTCGAGTCCGATTGTAACTGTTTGGTATTGTCAGAATAGCAAATTGGAGTTCCTATTTCTTTTGGATACGGAGGCGCCTCTCGTTCCAATTGTCTATGCTCAATGGATGCCTTGTCGAGATCTCTCGCCTGCAGTGCTAATAACGGTAAATCGGGATGGGAAAATTGTTGTGTATGAAGAGAATTCGATTTTTTCGGAACTCCAATTCCGAGCACGTTATGCGTTTTCTCTGTCGCCTTCGCCGATTAGTTCGCAAACGCTATGGGCAGTTAACTGGGCCTATTTGTATCCTCCCGTTTGTACAGTTGAAACGTTCTGGGAACCTTCTTTGTGTAGGTCGTTTTTTAATCTTTTGTGACATAGGTGGCTGTGGTTTTGGAAGAGAATATGGTAATGGAAATGGAAAAGGAAATGGCAATGGCAATGGCAATAGCAATGAAAAGGGTGGTAGCAATGGAAATGGCGAAGGTGATGAAAACGAACCCGATGATCGCGTGGGAGACAACGCAAAGGTGCGCGCTACCTTGCAGAGCGATGTTTTCCTGCAAGGTCACCGACATTCGCCAAATTCGTACCAGTCCACGTTCTTCGATTTCCCTACCAACTCACAATATCTCATCTGCTACATAAACAGTGGATTTTTCTACTGGCGGTTCGAGCACCGACCTTCGAAATCGTTTGCAATCCCCTCACTCCAAATCTATCCCTTTCCCCAGGTGAACGAAAGTTCAGGATCGCTCCAACTCGCAAATCACGTTCTAATGATCACGTTCATTTCAGGCTCTTTGGAGTGTACGATTGGATCCATCGCTTTGCTGATTCCTAGTTTTGAAAACGGGAAAAGTCAAAAGCATCTCGACCGTTCTGGATCCGACGGGGACAATCAAGGTAATCATGTATTCTGGGCCCGAGAAGTATCTCCCAGAGTCCGTGATTGCTGAGAATTCCTATCGGCTTGGATCCATTTCCCCGTTTCAAGGAGCGGCCCTTTTTCAAACCGGACAGTTCTATCTTGCTACCGTTGACTCCACGCACCAAGTGGACCTTTGGAAACGAAACGTTGGATCCAGTTGGGTGGCTGAGACGTGTAGGGAACCTTGTTCAAGCTGGAATCCAAGTTTTCGCTTCCTAATAATGTTCTGCCTGAAAGCGTGATGTCTCGCGGCTCCTTCTTTTGCTTTATCACTTCCAGCGGTCTTCGTGTTCATTCTGTCAAAGGTTTCGATCGCTGATTGTCTTTGAGCGATTAGGAAAGCCGATTCTGTTTGTAGAGGGAGAGGTCTCCGATGTCCACATGATGGAGAAGGAAACTCCAGGCCTATCCTATGTGTGCAACGATCAGTTCGTCTTGATAGAAGACTTGAACCATCCCCTGCCCGTTCCCTTTAGTTCGAAAGGTTTGCACCATCCCCAGGCTTGGAGCAACTCGATCTGCATCGATTACAACGCCCCTATTCTCTGTTTCTACGAGATTCGGCAGTCCGAAATGAAGCTTCAACGCTCCCTCGTGGTGGAGGGAATTCGAAAGGTTCATCTAACCGATGAGGAGCTGATTGCCCTGAGAGAGAAGGATGGCAATTCGATCGTCCTAAATATTTATGACTGGACCACCACCGTCTCGACCCTCGAACTCCGCCAGGAAATCGTCATCCCCATAACAGCATCAGGCCAACTCACTTGGAACCTGGCCGTGAATAACTCGGGACGGATGGTGGTGGTGGTGGTGAACGCGTTTCTCTACGTGTATATTAAAAGTCACGGACAGTTCGAATACGTCGGACTCTCCTCCTTCGCACGCCCCATTCTCTCCATTGGATTCGATCTGGTTGGCCGCATTGTGGCTGTAACGCCCGATGGGATTTGGAGTTCTCCGTATACAGTTCGATTGAAGAAACCTCTCCGCGATGGCCAGAAATGGATCACGCGCTGCTCACTGGTCCGACTGCAAGCACTGATGGACATGTCGGTGCTGGAGCTCTCCTCTTCGGCCAGCGTCTCGCTCATTCTTCTGCGAGCCGTCGATCATTTGGAAGCGTTGTTCAAAATGGCGTGGAAAGGAGTCAATCCGATTCGATTGCGACTGAAGCAGAGCTGGAGATGGTGTGAAGAAGAGGAGAAAGTCAAGGAGGTCGTGGAAGTTCGCAAGTGTTTGGATGCAGAATGCGGAGATCCGATTTCGGAACCCGAGCTGATTCAGCTCGATCAAGCCTTCCAGTATGTTCAGATTGCTGAATGGGACGAAGAAGAAACGGAACGGATCCGAACGATTCTTCGGATTCTGCTGTGGAGGAAGAAGGCGATTCAGACGATGGATCTGGACGAAAACGCATTGCAGTACTTGCTTACACTTCAATTAGTCGTCAATCGCCTTCTGCCAATCGATTCGATCCCATCCTCTGCTCTTCTCTTTGCCTCCTTTTCGAATAGCAAGGACACTTTGGTGAATGAAGCCCTCACGATCTTGGCAAAAGCGCGTCTTGGCGTGTCCACCACTCCCCTCGCCGCCTCATCGCCCTCCACCTCCTCTCCACTGTCTCCCAGATCCCCTCGTTCCCCTGCTTCATCGGTTGTTTCGCCGCCACTAAACTGCAATCCGTCGGATGGCCTTACTGCTTGTTCCGAGCGCTATCGATCGCTGTTTACCTTCACGAGCAACCGCACTCATTTCACGTTTGTGCCCGAGACGCCGACGGTTACGATTCGAGAAGATGAGGATATGATGCAGCACATCACATGGGAAGATATAAGAGGTTCTGGACTTGTTATATGGTGTCGGAGTCAGAGCATGTATACCAAATTTGCATTGAAAATCGCCGTGGTATGTTTTTGTTTTTCGCTTCCTTAGTTCTAGAATCAATACAAGGCCACCAAAGATCCTTACTCGGTGGCGTTGTTTTATGTAGCTCTGAAGAAATTGCCACAGCTAGCGATGCTGTTCAAGGTGAGCAAGCAAGAGAAGCTGCAGTATTTCTTCTGGTAGATCTGTGATGTGTGAATGATTCTTCTAGTCGCGATTTCTCGCAGGAGCAGCATCAAAAGGCCGCCTTGAAGAACGCTTTTATTCTTCAGTCGCGCCACGATTATCTGAAAGCTGCTGTCTATTTCCTGCTGGCAGGACATGTCGACGAATCGCTCCAAATTATTGTGAAATACGCACATGATCCCCAGCTCGCCCTCTTTTTATCGGTGTTGCTGGAAGGAGATCATTCGCCGTCGTATCACACCATCATGGATCATTTAATCACGATTGCCAGACATCAGCGTGACTTGCTCCTCCAGGCCACTTGCTATGCCGCAATATCGGATCTTCGAGACATGTTTTCGTGTCTGTTCTCCATCGCTGACCCTGTAAACTATCCGGTACAGCATCGTTTTCGATTCGATCGTGTAGAAGCCGTCGGTGGAGATTTCTCGCTATTTCCTGGACAATCACCAGCACTGTTCCTGCTTTCCTTCGCATCCTGCCTCAGTTTTGTTCCTGGGCGAAAGTCAAGTCATTTTTCTGCTTTTCTCCTTCCTGTCCAACCCGCAGTTCTCCCCGTTTCTCACTCCTTCGCACTCCGTCTTTCTCTCGCTGCCACGCCGAATCATCTCTTCTCTTTACATTTCTCGCTCGGTCGCTGTAGCCTCCGTGATTCTCCGCCGTCTCGCGCTTTCTCTTCAGAAAGCGCACGTACTGGGAGATTCCGATCTGCATTCGAGTTCGCTTAAGGTTTTGGATTCGCGTTTGAACTCGGATTCCAATGCAGAATCCAATTCGAATTCGAATTCTGCGATTCATTCGATCCTAAGCACGGATCCTCTTTTCCAGAAAATCCCTCTACGCAGAATTTCCGATATCATCCAACTGAATCAAAGGAACCTTCTTCGCTCCACCGAACCTTCCACGAGTTTCTTCCCGTCCTTCTTCTCTTGGTATTTGAGCCACTCTCACGGACCTCTCCTCGATCTCTTGACGGCGGTCTCGATCACATCCAGCGACGATTTGGTCTCGGCACACCTTCGACTGCGCTTTCGGGAGTTTTTGTACTCGCTGTGCATGGAAAACTGCCGAATCCTCCGCCAGCTTCGCGACTACTCTCTTTCGCGCCAAGCGCCCATCGTCTCTTTCGTCACTCTGCTCCGAAACTGCCTTCTCTTCCGGTCCGACTGGCTGAATCTCCCGGAAGAAGCGAAGCAAAAGCTGGGCATCTCGGAGTGCGACGTGGACGCGGTGCATCTCGAAGTGTTGCTGGGCTGCGTTCTGGTCGCGTGGGAGATGTGGGACGTGTCGCTGCTGCAGATCGCAATGAAGGCGCTCCACAACTTTGATTTCGGGGTCTGGGAGATCGCAGAACGTTTAGAAAACCAGTCCATCGAAACCAGCCATCTCGTTCTCGCCGGCGAAACGCCCACCATCGTCGAAATGACCACGCTTATCGCGGTTAATCTTCTCCGAGCCTCCGTCATCGACTCGATCGTCTCGATTCTAAAGCAGCAAATGGCGAAGAGCGCCGCCTTTCTGGACGAGTCCGTCAGCAGGCGATGGAAGGACCAGATCTCCTATTTGGAGCAGTGGAAGAAGAACCTGCTCGGCTTGATGGTCTCCTTCGGACCGGGCGAATTGGAGAAGGGGCGCGAGCATCTCTCGCTCTACTTCAGTCGGTTCCTGCAGGGAGCCAAAGCGGCGTTTTCTCCGCCTTCGCTCCAGACTTTGTGGGAGCAGGAAGGAGGGAAGCAGGCGCTGAAAACGTTCGTAGATCGCCTGGATGGGTCGAGCTGCGGCCACCACAAATACCACATTCGTTATAGCCATAACGAGCTCGTGTGGAACTGGAACCACTCGAGTTGCACGGTGCAGCGTCAGGCGAACCGCACGCTGCGCATCTCGATCAACGGAAACCCGCTCGACTGCTGTTTCTCTGGTCGGTTTGGCTCACCTCCAGACGCCTATCTGTCCAACACCTTTGATTATCATCACGACATCGACTGCTGCACGCGCCAAATCGCGCAGCGGAAAGTCGTCGATGCGATCTGCCCCTACATGGCGCTCCCCGCCTGCCTCGTCGCCTCGCACCAGCGCCAAGCGCTCTACCTCGACGTGATCCGCCTTCTCAGCAAGGCGCAGATGATGGTGCGTCGCTCTGCACGCCTCCTTCTTTCTAGAACGTCTGCTACCTCCCCTGCCAGGAGAAAGCGCGCCATCTGATCTGCAACGTCGCCGGCTCGCGCGTGGTCGCGGTGACGAAGAAATCGCGCGGGATCCTCTTCGACGTGGAGAACCAGAGCGTGGACCAGCAGTATTCCTTCGCCGAGCGCGGCATGCGCTGCGCCTCGTCGGGCTTCGTCACCACGAACGTCGGCTATCACGCCGTCACCAGCCGCGTTCGGCCGATCGCACGCGTCTCGCTGTTCGACTACCGGCAGGATTGCTCGCTGCGGTGCAACTGCGCGCTGAGTTTGGAGCTGCGTAGGCGCGGAAAGCAGGGTCGAATCTAGCGACTTCGCTGTATGTCGACGCGTTCTCCACGGCGTTCGATTCGAATTTGGTGCTGTCGACGAAGCTCGGACTGCTCAGCATCGATCTGCGCCAAGTAGGGATTCGGAGGAGAGTGAGCGAACGAAGAAACAAGCCGTCGGACTGATTCCCATCCGAGAACCCGTCGTGACGTTGATTGGGAGTGAGAGGGACGTGGTGGCCGTGTTCAAAAGTGGGAAGACTGTGTCGTTGCGGCAGATGACGGAGTGCTGCTAGCAGTAAACGAAGGGAAAAGCATGCCTGGGTGGTCGGTGTGTCATGGATGGCTGCAAAGAAGGATTTCGGTGTGTTGCTCGTTTATTGCTGTTATCATATATGCTACCAAAATATAGTGTATTAGTTTGACTGTGACTCCATGAAGTGTTTCGAACAAACACGCTTAATTCTTTCTACCAATCGAGAACAGATAATTTACATGTTCAAAAAGAGACGAATACTCCGCACACATATGCGACAACTCTCTCTTGTAGTTACGGATTCCATTAATAAAGCCACGCGCATCAGCCTGGTTCTCCTTGTATTCTTTTGCTAGGTGTTATTTCAGATGAACATAACAACAATCTAATACAAAGTCGAAAAACTTCTTGTCGTCGATCATTTTTGATTCAACCGAAGACTCCTTCTTGGGAGCAGAATCACTGGAAGGAGAGGTATAACAGGTATTGTCCTCTCCCGTACTTTTCACCACTTGAACAGACTGCACGACAGCTTTTCCTGTGTCTAGAAATTGGCACCTTTCGAAAAAGCGTACACTGATCATAAAGATTCACAATAGTGGGTGTCCTAACAGAACACTCCAGCGCGCCCTTCATCGTTTGGGCATGCTCCAACGCTTTTTTAATTCTAAATATTTTCCGAAGTATCAACTTTCTGCAGGTTTTCGCAGATTTCAACTAGACAGTCAAAAATCACTCAAAAAGAGTTACGTCTCCTTGTGCTAATAAATCTGTGGAAATCTCCATTAAAAAAATATGTATAAAGAAAAATGACAGGCACCGCGGTTATTAGGTAATATTCTAGAAGTCTTATTGAATTCATACCTTTCAAATGACAACCGCTGAATTAAAGTCCAAATCTGAGCCCGTACAGAAAGAAATGGAATCCGAAACGAATTTAGTATGAAGTGACTGTCTTCCAGATTATGTACTAGGGGGAGTTCGAATCATATAGAAAGATAAAATCACTAGAGGATGAGCTCGAAAGCATAACGGTTACTGTATTCGCTTCCTTAGAGTGTGTTTGATTCCATAGTCAGAGTTTTTGAGGGCAGATATTGCAAATCTTCGAAAGGAACTAATTCACGCGAAGGAAGTGAGTACAGTGGGTGGGTGGTTTATTTTTAGGATGTCAAGCGAATCACAAAGGGATGCCGCAGTGTGGCTCAGTTTATCGAGATGGTAGACGACAAGAACGCCATTATTCAAATCAGTGATTCTTCTTCGATGTATTCTCCAGTATTGGAGTACCGGTTCCCTCCCTCTATCACTCTAGAACCCTAAACAAAGATCTGCTCAAGCCTGGCTGCAGCATCTGCGTCCATCCCCGTTCGAGCGCCGTGGTGGACATTCTTCCTCCCCAAGCGGACAACGACATTAAGATCATGACGGAGAAGCCATCGGTGACCTACCAGGACATCGGAGGCCTGGATGTGCAGAAGCAGGAGCTCCGCGAAGCCGTCGAGCTTCCGCTTCTCCACCCCGAGATCTTCTCGCAGATCGGAATCGATCCCCCGCGGGGCGTACGCTCGCCTGCCTCCTCTGAGCGCTAGGTTCTGATGTACGGTCCCCCCGGAACGGGGAAAACGATGCTGGCGAAGGCGGTGGCGAACGCAACGACGGCGAATTTCATTCAAGTGGTGGCCAGCGAGTTCGTGCAGAAGTAGGCGAGCGAGGGGACGGTAATGCGAAGATGGCTGGGCGACGGACCGCGCATGGTACGCGATGTGTTCAGCAAAGCGCGAGAAAACGCGCCGTGCATCATCTTCATCGACGAGGTGGGCGTTTCGAGGGCGTTTCAAGTAGATTGACGCGGTGGCGTTGAAACGAAACGACTCGATGGGAGGGGATCGCGAAGTGCAGAGAATTCTAATGGAACTGCTGACGCAGATGGACGGATTCGACCAAACCACGAACGTGAAGGTGATCATGGCCACCAATCGGCCCGAAATGCTGGACCCCGCGCTGATGCGACCCGGAAGATTGGACCGAAAAGTGGAATTCCCGCTTCCGGACCGACGGCAGAAGCGACTGGTCTTCCAGGCCTGCACGGCGAAGATGAATCTGAGCGAGGAGGTGGATTTGGAGTCGTTCGTGAATCGGCCGCAGAAGATTAGTTGCGCGGATATCGCGTCGATTTGTCAGGAAGCGGGGCTGCAGGCGATTCGGAAGAATCGGTACATTGTGCTGACGAAGGATTTGGAGAAAGCGTACAAAAAGGTCGTGAAGAGAACCGACTCGGAGTATGAGTTTTACAGCTGGGTTGTTTGTTGTATAATCCTGTGTGGGGTGGAGGTGAGGTGGAGGTGGAGGTGAGTGGAATGGAGAGGAAAATGGGTGAATAGGAGAATGGGTGAATAGTGTGTGGAGGAGAATGATTCAAAGGCTGTAAGTATGGAGTGATTGAAATGTGTGTTTGGATTCCTATCCATATCCTCTTCAACTGTTGCCTTAATCCCATTCTTTCTCTCCCTACTCGCGATTCATTCACTCGATCCTTCATCGATCCCCCTTTCTCATGTTTCAAAAAAACAGAAAAACAACACGAATACAACTGAATAATTCCGTTCTGACCCGAACAATCCCAATTCGCATCGCGTTCGCGCGCTTTCTCCTGCAATTCCTTCGAGACGCCCATCAAAACGTTACTTTTCAACGTGCGAAGCATCAGCAACGAGCACGGGAAATAGCTACACCTCGCATCCACGCCTCACTCCCCACTGCAGCACTCGCTTCAGCTCCACGTCGTACTCCCAATGCAAATCCCCCGCGAGTCTCCGATAGTTCGCGTCCCCCTTCGTGATCACAAGGTCCTGCTTCGCCAAAAATCCGCGCATCGACGAGGGCATTTCCCATCCAGGCAGCGCCGAGCACAGGAAAACCGACGCCTTCACATCGAGTCGCCCGGATTGCATCGCGCCCTCAAGGCAATCCAGCATCCATCGCAACGCTACGCGTCACACTCCCGCGGAACCCGCACAGGCGTCACGTGACCGACGCAACACGTCGAGTCCCGGCTGAATATCGTCGAGCGTCACATCGGAGACGAAGACGGGCGACGCTTTGACCACGTAATGCACGCTGCAATGAGGAAACGCGGAGAGCAGCAGCGTGATAAACAGAAAATCGCAGAGCATTTCGAGCCCTGAATTATCCGCAAACACCGAGATTTCCCGCACGTCGTGACTCTGAAGGAAGCTCCACGCCTCCTTCGAGTGGTCAATCAAAATCAAATTCGACGACGACGTGTGCAGTAGCGATTTCCCCTCCACCACGCCGCTCGACATGCTCAAATCCGCCTTGTTTCCCCAGAGCAACGTCAGCAGCGCGGACGCAAACACGTCCTCCGAGATCGCGGGCTCGCTGCGAAGCCTCGCGAGGAGAGGAGCGAAAAACGGCTCGATTTGATCAGCGACAGCGGTCAAGGCTTTCGATTTTAGAGCGAAAAACGGATCTTTGGGAAGCGAAGCGTCCATGTGTTGAATGTGGTTCAGCAGCAAGAACTCGTAGTTCTCGGCCAGCCACCAGGAGATAGCGTGCCAATGCAAGTCATCATGGATGGCACGACGGACTGGAATTCGAAAGAGTTCGGAGAGAAGCGAATCGCTGTTGGTGATATCAAGAATCGGCCCGTTATCCCGAATCGTGTGAGCAAGCGTGGTGTATGATTCTGCGATCGAGGGAGGCAAAGGCTGCGAATTCATTGTCTGGTAGATAATGTCCGGAATACGACGCTTCATCGTAATGCCTGGAAAAGTGTCCTATTCATGTTAAAAAAACAATATCACAATTCAGTACCGGACCATCGGATCCACGAAGGGGTTGAGGATACTCGTTACCGAAAAAAGGACGATGGGTAAGAGCAATCTTACGAAATTCGTCCATGTGGAAAAGAAAGCAATCAGGGGTTTCTCTGAGAGTAAAAACACGATTTAAGGCCAAGGAAAGCGAAGACGGGATTTTTCCCAAAACAATGACATTCTCAATGCGGCAATCCGAACTACCGAGTGCATAGGGAACCCTAATGCATAAAATCAACAAGAGAAAAATACTCCTCGATGCTGGAGAAACACTCAAAGTGATTTTCTCTACAGTCACGAACAAACGGATCATCTATGTATCAAAATTCAAAACCCTTGTGAACATACACGAATCTCCTTCAAAGAGGACAATGGTGTTATCCGAAGTTAAATAATCGATCAAAGCTACAGAAATATCGCTGTGATCGGATTCCATCTGATAGGAATAACAAAGAGTGAAAGGATTTTCTTTTAGCTGTTGCTTTCGAATCAAAGGGCTTTGAATTCATAGCAAATTCATAATTCTCAATTCCAAGAGATGAACGAGTCATCGAGAAGAGACAAAAGCAAGGCAGGTTCAACAAAATATAGAAAACGGTCTCGTTCACGCGACAGGCACCGGTATAGAAAAGAGAGATCACGTAGAAGACGCAGTCCATCGTATGATTCGGGTTCCGACTCCTATTCGTATTCCGATTATTCCAGCTATTCCTATTCTGACTCTCCTCCACGTCGAAGAAGTCCTTCTCCTCTTCGTCGTTTGTTTCTCTCTTTCCAGTGAGGTGTATAGGGATTAAAAGAGATATTCCTTCAGACGATGTGAAGGATAGTCGCCCGATCCGAGAACGTCTTCCTTTACCTGACTTGGGAATGATGCGTCGCATGATGCAGAATATCCACAAATCGAACCAAAATGCAGAGATCCGTGACAAGACTGCTTCACAGAAAAAGTTGGAAGTGGGTAATGGAAGATGGTTTGATAGCTAGGAACTGGAGCGAAAATTGGGCTATCCGCGCAAGAATTAGTAGATTGGCAAAACTCTTTTTTTATATGTTTCTTTTTGATTTGTTTTTTGCAAACGCCAAATTCCCGTTTTGAGTAGATTTCTTTTTGTGGTTACAAATCCGAACGAACCGTTGGAAAAGAATGTCGTTTGACCAGTCTCTATCTATTGCCGAAGAAGTAATCAGAGATGCGTGCCGTGTAGTAAAAGCTGTTGGAGAAAAGGAATTGGAGGCGCATTCTGATAACATTCTGGAGGATGACAAGTCAGTCGAATTGATAGTGACTTATACTGTTAAAGGGGAGCGAAAGGACACTCCTTGCATAATCCCTTTAAAGCACTCTCTTTTCCGTGTTGAAGATGGAAACAATGCTATTCTGATTATCTCTAAAAACGACACGACAACAAAAACTGCACTTTCTGCAAATCCGGTTCCTGGCTTGGAAAAGGTGGTGGTTGTGGATAAGGTGCGAAAGACATTTGATCGCTATATGCAAAAGAGAGATCTTATCAAGGCGTATACTCGTTTTCTGTGTGATGCCTCCATTATCCCTTTAATGCCTTCTATTTTGGGAAAGAAGTGCATGGTTTCCAAGAAGCACCCTACCCCCGTGAGCATTAATAGTAAATCTCCCGAGAAACTGCGTGAGAGCATCCAGAAAGCTTTGTCTTCCACAAGTATGTTTGTGAACTGGGGTGTGAACAGCGTTGTGAAGGTGGGAAAGCTGTCCTTCTCCGAGCAGGAGCTTTTGGAGAACATCCTGTGTGTGTTACCCGTCGTTTATCGGTACATTAACGCTGAGAATATTAATCGATTGGCGTTGAAGGTTTGATTGATTGGAAAGGTTGATTCGTAGATCCCGAACTCGCTCTGCATTCCGTTCTATGAGAAGCCTGCTTCGAAAATGGTCATTGTGAGTAATGAAGAAGAGGAAGAAGAGGATGAGGATGAGGATGGGGATGAGGAAGAAGAAAACGAGGTAGAGGAAGAAAAGAAAGAGAAGGAGGTAAAGAAGCCTGTGAAGAAAGAGAAGGAGGTAAAGAAGCCCGTGAAGAAAGAGAAGGAGGTAAAGAAGCCTGCTAAAGAAGAAAAGGAGGCAGTAAAGCCTGTGAAGAAAGAAAAGGCCAGTAAAGAACAAAATACAAAGAAGGCTGAAGAAGTCGAAGTAAAACCGAAGACCGTAAAGAAGGAAAAGATCGCAAAGAAGGAGAAAACCGTAAAGAAGGAAAAGAAATCGACGAAGTGTTCTGTTTGTTTCACTCTGTATTGCTAACAAACAAGCCAATCTACATCGCATATTGAGTTAGAACCAACCACGATCTCTTCAATATTGATTTCATCAACCCCATCATCATCATCGTTATTATTATTATTATGCCCATTGTTTTCTTGAGGATCATGAATCATTTCCTGTGGATGCCCTTCAATATCATCAATACAATCATCATCATCCACGATCTCTTCAATATTTATCTCATCACCCCCATCATCATCATCATTATTATTCTGCCCATTATATTCTTGAGGATCATGAATCATTTCCTGTGGATGCCCTTCAATAGCATCATCATCATCAAAAAAAGAAAAATCATCATCATAGACCACCTGGATATTCGGTCTATCAGGAACAGCGTCATCATCAGTAACAGCGTCATCATCAGGAACAGCGTCATCATCAGAAATTAAAAAATAAAAATCATCATCAGCAATATAATCATCATCATAGGCCACTTGGTAATTCGGTCTATCAGCAGCATTAGCATTAGCAACAGCGTCATCATCAGGAACAGCGTCATCATTAGCAACAGCGTCATCATCATAGATCTCTTCGATAATCGGTCCATCACCCTGCTGCCTTCCTTGCTGGTTTTGATTCATCGATTCCAGAATGAGCTGTTGAAGCAGCATTTCCTGCAGGCCCATTCCCAGCTCTACAAAAAACCGAGCATCCACTCCAGGTTCGCGCGGAGGCACTTCATTGTTTCTTCGATGTTCCACGTGTTCATCACGATCGTCCCCATTATTGTCTTGATCTTCATTCTCATTCTCATTCTCTTCGGAACCCTCCTCTTCATATGACTCTTCGCTTTCGCTTTCATTTTCATTTTCATTTTCATTTTCTTCATGATCACGATCTTCCCTCGGCGAACTCTCCGTACTCGACTCGCTTTCCTCATCGTTCTCTTCATCCAGCCCTTCGCGATGCCGCACCGCCGCTTCGAACGCCTGCCTGATCATAAACTCGCCCGCATTCGAATAATCCATATCCATACCCCCGCTCAATCCCTGTATTCGCTCGTATAAATACACCATCTCTCGCTCCGACACCTTCCCCAGACGCAGCATCACATAATGCCGCAGCTGCTTCATCTGCACCAGCTTTGCGAAGAGGCCTGTTACAAGAAAACCCACATACGCGACATTAAACGTGAACACCAGCTACATCGCACAGTTCCACGATTTCTACCAGCAGAGCCGCGTAGATCCAGTAGTTAATATACCACAAATGCGGCGCCAGCGCGTAGATCCCCGTGTACAGCGACAGTAGGCTGATGTACCCCGCGGTTATTCCCCAGATCCAGTTTCTCTACCCGTCAGCGCGGCCATCCAACCCAACGGTCCCGGAATCCACGCCCATATCGAACCAAGGCAGCGTCGAAGCCGCCAAAACCCCTACTCTCAATTCCCGCGGGGATTGCTACCTAGAATCGCGATCTGTAAGTAGTACTGTAAAACGTTGGGGCTTTCGAAGTAGAAAAAGGAGCTGACCAGATACTGCACCATAAAAAGCGCGAAGGTCAGGAGTGGACAGTGCACGTCGTCCATCACCTTGATTTGCATGTTGTACCGCCTGACGCGGGTTCGATTCCCCTTCGCTCGCTTTTTTTCCCGTTTCAGTTGGTAGAAAACGTAACCGAAAAACAAGTAACTCAGCACCACGCACGCGCTCATCAGTACGCTCGCGTCGGCCGGCAAAATCCAGCCATCGAAGGAGAAATACCAGAGCATGCAGCTCGTGGCGTACATGATAAACGCGAACCAAACCGGACGAATCAGCTGCGGACACCGCTCAAAGTAGAAGGGGAGGAACAGAAAGCGACGGAGATGGTGGAAGAACATCTCTCTGAGTGAAGTGGAAGCGGGAAAACGACCGGCTGGGAGTGTAGTCGAACGAAACCCAGGTGACGAGGAGCAGAGCGATAAACAAGAAAACGAGATGCAGGACCAACAGATAGGGATGAAAAGAAGCGTTCTAGCGGTCAACCGCTGCAAAGAACAAAGCCACTTTTTGAATGATAGTCATGAGCACTAAATGACTGCAGAAACTTAGCAGACTGAGTACAAGTAGAAACCAGATCAGACCGTAAAGAACCGGAGTCCAAAACTGGCAGCGCTTCTACACATTATAGAAATCACACGGTGAGTAACGAATATTGGCAAAGATTCTTCATAGCAATTACGGAGTTTTATCGCTTCCTCTCTCTGGCGTATGAAAGAGGAGAATCTAGGTGAAAGGGATCGATGATTACAAACTCCTCCGAAAATACTTTGCTTGGCGTTCCCGTAATCTTTGATTCAAAGTTACCTTAGACTAAATAAACAGAAAAACCACGAACAAGGATAAAGCATCGTAGATGATATCTGTTTCCAGTCTGCAGACTGCTGAACGGCATTATATATTTGCTTATTACATATTGAGAGGTTGAGCAAATCAGGTAACTAAAATGGACTCCATTTCCTGTTCATACATCCAGAAACGACGACAAGCAGTGAACTAATTGATGACTTCTAAAGAAATCCTCATTTAGCAATTTCGGCGACGATTCGTTAATTTTCCTTAACTCTACCGCTTCTTCACACAAATGAGAATTACATGCATCCTCTTGATTCATTATTGAATCAAAGTCTAAACCGAAAATAAGCGATATTTCTATTGCATAAATATATTCGTTGTGTTCTATTTGTTGTACTATGGAAACTGTAGGCAATAGACTGCTCTCCGAATCATAGCAGCAAACCAACGATACAAATGAACCGGACAAAGAACAATCGAAACCATTTTCTTGTTGTATCTGTCTTGATACTCCTTCAGACCCCGTGGTAACGCCATGCGGTCATTTGTTTTGGTAAATGCTTTTTCGAAGTCTCATTTCTAGCTGGAGTTGTTTGGTTAACGTACAAATCCTTCTATTCGCTTATTCGATAGTGGTTAGACCTTGCTCACGACGATTGTCCTGTTTGTAAAGGACATGTAACGCGAGACAATGTAACTCCGATCTATGGAGCGAACGATACCAACAAGGAGTTGCACGGCGAAAAGAATATTCCCAAACGACCATCTGCACACTACGAAGAAAGTGATCACACTGTACCTATCCATCCCATTGTTGTACTTATCATTAGCGAGCAAATAGAGAGAACAACAATTTTTTCAACATGGCGCAAGGCATGCTCTTCCCTGGCATGATGAACTTTCGCTTTGGAAACAATTTTATGATGTTCGGGTATGGAATGCCTCTGTTTTCGATCATCAACATCGTTTTATATCTTTTTAACGTGGCGAGAAACTGGTATCAAAACCATCGTCAGGAGGATAGTAATACAAACGCGAATGGAAACGCAGACGCAAGTGAATCTGCGGAAAGCGCGCATTCACGAGAGGAAACGGATGCGGCCATCCGACCTGTGACTGATTCCATTGACATGATCATTATCGTGGTTATTACCGTGGTTCTTTTGCTTTATTCTATTTTCTCGTTCCTTGTTTGTCCTAAAATCGATAAGAAAACTAGATTTTATATATAAAAAATAACGAACTGTGAGCTTTTTACTTTTGAGGGTTGACAAGAAATATGCTTTTTAGGCATAGTTCTGATTGAAAAAATCGTTGATTCAACAGAACACACTCCACAGTGGACACGACAGGAAGCAATAATCTACCTTCGGTGACACGATCACGGAAATATGGTTTCGTGAAGTATTCCCTATTCTGCGTGCATACGAATGGTCGAACACGAAAATCATATTCGTTTTTATTATGATTATGATTTTTTGGACGCCACTTGAGGGATTCCAGAAATCCTTCCTTTTTTTGAGGACATTCTTTCATATATCTCTTTGTGCAGTCCGTACTTTTTTATGGCAGAGCACAATATTCATCATTTTACGCAAGCTGTCATACCGCTTTTTCAAAACTGCGAGTTTTGTGGAGAGAAGATCATTTGTATCTAGTTTATTTGTAATTTTCACCTTACTAGCGATTTTCAATTCAGCGTACCAATGTACTCAATGTCTAAAATTCTGTCATAAGCAATGTTGTAAACTAGCTGACTCTTTATTCCCCTGTACTGGAATACCTGATTCGAGTGTGAATCAGGAGGTAATTTTCACGGCTTTTCCCGTAAATCATACCTTGGGGGAAAGTACCTATGCCTTTTTCGAGAACTTCATGAAGCCTTCCTTTCTTAAAAGAGAAAGCGCGGATAACGCGGATCCCTCAACATCCCATCCTGGGTCGGACGGATCCAATGGAGCTCTTCCATCGATTGATTCTACGCAACATCTCCACAGTTTTCGCGTTCGCCCTTCGCAGCCAGAGTTGGATGACGATGATGATGATTATGACGACATCACCTCCTTCGAATCCAGCTCGCTAAACCTCTCTCAGGGAAGCGATTTCCTGCATTCGCTCCGCCGCAGCACGTTCCTCGAAGGTTCTCCCGCTTTCGACCAGGACTATTCGGCACTCGGCCAGGACGACAGCATTCTTTCCTATCCCGGTTTTTTCACGGTTATCGTGCAGCAGGCGATCAATCTCGCGCTCCCTGCCGTAGCTTATCGCACGCCCTCTCTCCCCTAGAGCAAATCGAAAGCGAACGTGTACAGCAAACTCAGCCTTCTGCCCTGGGGAGAAGAGATCTTCCACACCGATCTCACCAGCGCCAACGACGGCTTTCCCGACTGGGACGGGCACAACAACATGTTCTCGCTCCAGTACCCCGGAGCCCTCCCCAAAGTCAACCCGATTCTGCGCGTGTCTGTGAAAACGGAAGGCCAGCTCTTCCGGAAGAAGCAGCATCTCGGCGTGGCGCAGATCTCGCTTCGACGCCTCGCCATCGAGCCCAACAAGTACAACGACGATTGGTACACGCTGTATCGCGACGGAATCAAAACCGACGCGAAGATCCGCGTGTCGTTCATGTTCTGCCCGATGGTTCTCTCCAAGGATCTGCGAGGTAATCGCTTTCCCGCGCGTGCATCGTAGGCAGCAACCCGCAGAAAACGCACTACTTCGAGAAGCAAACGCTGGACACCGCGTCGTTCTCGACGGACTGCCCGGTCTGCAAGAAGTCGCTGCTCTCGGGCATCGTCGACGCGATCTACAGATGCAAAGTCTGCGGCATGGCGGTGCATGGCAACTGCAGAGAGCGCGCCAAGTTCATTTTCCGCTGCATTCCGCCGGAGCAGCGATCGCAGAACGTGGGCGGCGAAGATCTCAGCGAGAAAGTCCTGCGGTCGATCAAGAAAGACCGCCTGCTGGTGTACGATCAAGCGATCGGGCGACTGTGCGCATGGACGAAGGGAGTCACGCGTAGAGTGATTCAGTTGAACCAGATCACGCTGTTCAACCTCAAAAACAAGCACAAATCGCTGTATCTGGTTCTCTCTTGCGACGTTTCTCTTCGTTTTCTCCCTCATTGGTTAGCAAACCGCCTGCTCCTCCGTCACCATCCCGTTCAATAACATTATCGATATCACCAGCGACGAGTTCCGGTTCTCCTGGTTCGTCTTCGACCCCGCCGCCGTTCTCAAAATCATCGTGAAGGATCGCTTGTCGCTCCAAACCATCGGCGTGATGAAGCTCTCCATCGCCGAGATCGACGTTTCCCCTTTCCATTCTCTCCATTGCAGTTCTACCAGAGCGGCATCCAGTTCGAGAAAACGTCCACCTATTCGCCCATGTCTCTCTACGACATCTCGCAAGACACGCCCATCCGAACCTTCGATTTGGTCCACAAAACCCCGACCAGTCTCACAACCGTCGGCTCGATTTCGCTCGCTTTTCGCTATTTCAACTACCCCGTCAATCTCTTCTCCTCACAGCTCCCTCCCATGCCTCCTCTCCCCGATTTAACGCCCAACGCTGTCTCTGGCTTGTGGGTTCGCTTCTGGCAAATCACCAAAATCATGCTCGATCTCGCCGACTACGCCAAATTCGCCATTTCGTGGGAGTTCCCTCCGCTTTCGCTCGCGATTGCTGCTGGCTATTTCGGCGTGGTCGGCTTCGCGCCGCTGGAATACGTCCACCTCTACGCGATGCTTGGAATCGTGGGCTTGTTCGTCGGCACGTTCGTTCTTCGAAAGAGACACTTGCTGGCGAGAACGATCCAAACGACGGAGGAAGTGATTCACACGGAGAACGATGTAGTGGATGAAGGAGAGGCTCGATTGTAGTTTCTGTCGAGCAGTCTCATCAATATCGTGAACACGCCCGTGAATCAAATGAAAAACTCGCTCTCGGCGGCCACGCTGATGATGTTCGTTGCCAATTTGGGATTCACGGTCATCGAGAAAACGTATCATTTGCTCGTCTGGACGAATCCTGAAAAAACGCGTTTTCTTCTCATCATTTGTATTCTCATAACCGTGTTTTTCATGATCATCCCGATTCGAATTGTTCTCATTGCGATCGGCCTCGCCGTGTTGCTTCCCGTTTCCGTTGAAATCGGTTCTCATCTCTAGAAGAAAATCAAAATCATGCCGATTCTCTACATGTTCATGAATTACCTCAACAGTTTCCCTGACGATGATCAAGTTTACGAGGTTCGCTTCGTCTTTTCGTTTCATTGTAGCTACTTCGACCCACTCCCAAATATGTTTTAACTCCCGATGGAGAACAGCATCAACTCAACCGTGGATATTGCCGAGCATTCTTCGATGTTCTTATTGTGGAAAGCGGAAACTTGTGGCATGTTGTTTTGTTTCAGTGCTTTTGATGGGTAGAAAGAATATATCGCTGTTGGATTCGATGGATTGGTGCGACGATGGAATTCAGGAAACGATGTGGATCAACGAAAAGGATTGATTCTATTTAAGAAAGAATGGGTTCAAGAAATAATAACCGAGATGTCAATCCGTGATTTCGCGAAGTATGGATTTAAAGAAGAGAGTGAATGGACGCCCGGTGTGGACAACAGTCTTACAATCAAATTATCAGGGAAGAACCCTGTTGTGATTTCTTTCCGAGATACAGATGATCGCGATACTTTTAAGTCAATGATTTCTATGTAGTTTGTTTGTTAAAGAACGTGGCGAGGGAATATTACTGAAATTGAATGTGAGTGATGATTATAGAAGAAATGGTGAGGATAGGAGCATGGTTCTAAGGAAATGTAGAGGCGAATCATCAAATATTGTTTTGTTTTCTGATATATATAAATAGAAAAATTGAGTAATGATATTTCTGTTGATAGAAATAAAATTAGTATTTGTAAGCCAGTAATATATCAAAATTGAATTAAGGTTAGATTTGTTATACAAATTAGTTTAAATCTCGTTATTCCTTTTGTCCTCATTTACATTATTGTAAAATACAAACAGAATTACTTTTTATTTTGAATTTTCCAACGAATATGAGTGAATATAGTATAGATTTCGGTTATCAAGTTTACCGATAATGGTTCATTCTGTAAGCGACTGTAATTACTATAAATTATCTTTTGGTCTTCTTCACTGGCCCCCTCTTCTATTAACGAGAATCCCCACTTTTGTAATCGATTACGAATAATATCCAATGCACGTACGCTATTTCGAGCTCTTCTTTTTTGTTGATCCACTCCATTTTGACTCCCTTTTATTGTTCCATCTGCCGACAATAAAAGAATACTTTTACATTCCATATCATGTCCAGTTTCACAGTCTATGACCCTTTCTGACAAAACTCCTTCCCTATTCATATCAAGAACTAAACATATAATCGAACAATTGTAATGGCCCAATTTCACTTCAAGTCTTTTTAATTCATCATTGTTCTTAGCTATTGAATCAATCCCTTGATAAATTGAAATGTTTATTTCTGATTGGTAAATATCTTTCAGACAAATCATCTTTTTCTTGGATACAGGAAGAACAGTGTTTCGTGGAATGAGAACTTCCATTCGCCCTCCAATGGAAATACCAATGTCCATTTTGCAAAGATTCATTTTCTGCATTCTACCATTTTCATCACTGAGAATTAGTTGATTATATAGAGATAATTCATCAATCTCATATTCATCAAATGGAGGCAGATCGGGATATCTTGATTCAAACATTTTAAGATACTCTTCAACAGACCCCGAAACAAGGGGTGAAGGAGGAATAGGATCAGAAACAGGGTGAATATCGAGATTATGTCCATATTTAGCTGCACCATAGGCCACACATAAATCAGGACTGATGTTTCCTTTTATAGGAATTTTAGGGAAATGACCTTTAAGTAATTCTTCCACCAATCGTAGTCGAGTTGAACCACCAACAAGAATGATACTGTCAATATCTGAAACAGTGATTTTAGCTGCTGCAATTGCTCGATCGCAAATCTTCAAAGTGTCTGCAAGTTTAGGTCCGATTAATCGATTCATTTCGGCTCGAGTAAAAACAATAATCACATCATCTGTAATATCTATTTCAGTGTGAGGATAGGTTAGTAAATCAATTTTGGCTTGCTCACATTTTGAGAGAACTTTGGCTATTAACTTCGCAGGAATTGGTTCCCCAGTTTCATCCATGTATCTCTTCTTCATTTCATCCAATATCAATTTGTCAAAATCATGACCACCACAAAATATATCACCATCAGTAGCTAGTTCTGTGTATTCATCTCCTTCATATGCCAATATTGTTACATCAAATGTTCTACCACCCAAATCATAAATCATTAAAGTCAAATCTCGATCTTCATTAGTAAAATCAAGATAAGCATAAGCAGCAGCTTGAGGTTCGGAAATAATAGCACGAACATTCAATCCTGCGATTTGACCTGCCAATTTTGTCAAATCTCGTTTATATTGATCGAAATATGTAGGAACAGTTATTACAGCATTTCGTATATCAAATCCAGCAACACCTTTCATCTCTTCGGCGATAGCTGAAAGTATCATAGCTTCAACATCTTCAGGGTGTTTTACTACATCTCCAGCTTCAGTTTGAATAGCAACGACAAGTTTTCCATCAGCACCATTTCGTATATCATATCCCACAGATCCACGCATTTCTGCAACGATGGGATTGTCATAAGAAACTCCGAGAAGATCTCTGACGTGGTGGAAAACACCATAGCTTGTGGTTTGCATTTTTTGCTTAGCAAAATACCCTATAATACTATAGGTAGGATTCCTTTTATTATAGGCAACACAAGAAGGAAAAACACGAGAACCTGTTTTATAAGCTAAAACTTCGATATCTCCATTCTTCCATATTGCTGCGACAGAGTTTGTAGATCCCAAATCAATTCCAAATGTAGTTGACGACATTTTGTGAAAAACAGTTAAAGTGTAAAAACCGCGGGAATCATGTTGCTATTGATTTCAAACAAAGAAACAAACAACCCAAAACGTTATTTTTGATATTTTCTTCCTCTAATAACCCACAGTCTCCAATACATAATGTTAAATATTATTATTTTACTTTTCCTGTTTTCATCCAAACCAATTACCCTTTATTCTTTCAACTATCACAACACAAAAAGACAAAACACCATAAAATATCCACATCCATCATTATCAACACTTCTCCAACAAACAAGCATCCAACCAACACACCCTTCACTCCAAAGACTGAATCGCCATCTTCAACGCTCCTTCTTTCGTCTTATTGCTCCCAATAAACCCGTTTATATGCACAAAAATGCACCCTTCGATTCCGCTCGCTCGGCTCAGTTCCTCGTCTCGCAGTCCCAAACACTTCGCCAAAATCTTCTTTCTCACCTCGAACGTTCCGGGGCCCGCGTTCATCGCACGCACTCGCCACGACCCGTCCGTGTTCTCCACCACCACGAACTTCGTCTTTCCCTCCTCTCCGCGCTCCTTCTCCAGCTCAAACACGTGCTCCATGTACGGACAGCTCTCCTTCATCACCAGAATTTCCCCCGACGGATGCACCTCCTTCGCCTTCTCCATCGCCTCGCGCACGATTCCGCGCGCCGGCAGGATCTCGTCCGCCTCGATATGAACGCGCTGCCAGAACTCTCCGATCATCAGCCCCATTGCGAAGCGGAAACGCTCTTGCTCTTTCTCTTCGCTCCATTCTTCGCGCCAAGAAATCCCAAGACGCGCCACGCGGCTCGAGATCGTCGTCGTCACTTTGTAGTTCGAGTCACCGCTACTGCTATTCACGCCGTTGTCCGTGCCGTCGATTTCTTCGACGAAGTGGTCGTAGACTTTGTGATAAACGTAGTCTAAGTCGGCTGGGGGCAGAGAGCGGTTCAGAATCGCTCCGATGATTTCACGACCGAAATGTTTGTAACTAGGTGAAACATGAGAAAACACTAAATTACATTAAACCGGCAGAACTCAACTTCGTTTTGTGTTGAGAATCGAACGTACACTCAAATCCCTTTTGATGATGATCGAACCGTTTTCTAAAATTCATCAGCGACGTATTATTAATACTCACTTTTCAAAATCATACTCACCACCGACATCCACAACAATATCACACTTCTTCAGTAATTCCTGATTACGAGTTCGCATAATTACTTCATTTCAACCACAAACCAGAAGAAATACCATGATCTCGATATTCGGGAAGAGTTCGTAAAAGGGAAACCGCCAGAGCTTCGTCCGAATGGAAAGTACCACTGTGAGTACCAATCACCTTCCGATTTTCGGGGAAAGTGTCGAGGAAGACTTCTCCCGAAAAACCAAGCTCATTCGCTCTGTTCATGTATTCGGGGAACATATCTGGATTTAAAAGTGCTGAAATCACATTGGTACCTTCATACATCAAGTTTCGGTGTAAACGTTTCGCTTCCATTATATTTCTTCGCAGTGAATTCAAATAGGGAGTAAAGAATTTCAACAACTTTGAATTTTGAAACCTTTCTTCAACAAACACCACTATTATTTCAAGGCCATTCTTGATAAGTGGTCTGCAATTCTTATCGGCTCAGGCAAACGGAACTGGCATAAAGAAGACACAATCTGAAGAGCCTCATTCAAACTAACACGAGTTCCCACGGAAATGAAAATGGGTTTTGTTATGGACGGTGGACAGAAGCTAACTCCAATGACTTCCCCATAATGATGAATATTCACCTACATCCCAAGGTGGACTAAAAAGTACAGCTCGCTTGTTGTTTTGCAATGCCTCACTGAAAACGCGCTTACACTCGTGGATATCTGAGCAAACGTCGCACGCGCCATCCAAAACTACAGGCTTCTTTCCTGATTGAACGAACGATCCTCCACAAAACATGTTTTTCCCTACTCCAATCGTCGGACAGCCAAATTCAAGTCCAACGACACACGCAGAGCCACAATGACGAGGATGGAGTCGCCCCTGGCCATCAACCAAAATCACTTCTGGAAAGAGTTCGTTGTGGTTTTGTTTTAGTTTCGTTAAAAGAGAACGATAGATGGGCATTTCGCGATAAGCGAGATACCCTGGAATGTAGGGAACGGAGATCGTAAAGGTTTGGAGGTCAGAATAAACGATTTTCTGCGTTTGAGGATTGTATACGACAAGGCAGCCCACTGCCGTATCATCATCATCACCACTATAGCTAATATCCAATCCACCAATTCGTTCCAAAGAATGGTTCTACACAACACATCCTCACCTTGGGCTTACACGTATTTTATCTTCTAACTCAGGATTTTCGCATATTACACACGCTGCTAAACGATTTTGCTCCCTACATGCTCAAATAAGCGAATCACGTAAATACTCCTCCCATTGACGTTCCAACTGTTCTATTTGACTTATATTATTGTCCACATCATCTTTGTTGATTTCCATCCCTTTGTAAAAGAATTGTTTTATCGATGAAACAAAGTAGCATCAGTATTCTTATTTTTTCATCGATTGTACTATTCTACTGTCTAGGAGTAGTTCCATGTGGAGTGTGTTTCATCTAGGGAAATGACCACTTTAATTATGAAGAAAAGTTTCATATCACATACAACGATGAATACAATGATGGAAGTTATGGAATTCAGCGAAGCAAACAACCGCCCGCTCTCTTATTTGATATTGTATTGGAAATTGAGCGAATTTTCACATAGAATGGAGATGGAGAGCAAGAACTGATTGTAGTGACTTCTTCTCTCTCTTTGCGAATCTACTCATTTTCAGCAAAGCAACATTCGTTCTACGGCTCATCTGCACAGAATTCCTTTCGGGAAGTATCTCTTCTCTCAAACTCGCAATTAAGGAGCAGTATTTACATTTGAATATAATCTATTAAAATAGTTGACAACATCATAGCAATTGCAGCGGACCGAATTGAGATTGGAAACCATCTTCTTGGAATTGTTGTGATTATGAGCAATAATGGGATTATTTCGTGCTATGACGAATCACTTCGTCTTTTGTGGAAGATCTCTGTGTACGAAAGCAACCTCATCAACATGAGCACGTTGATCGTGAGCAACAGTGCTCTGACGATCAGCAAACAAAAAACTTGCGGCGTTTCCAGCGTAATCTACGTTTCGATCAGCTATTCGATCAGTCCGAAGCACTTCGTCAAAGCTCGTTTTCCCCGTTTCCCCACTTCATGAATAGTTTCGGAGCGTTTAACAAGCGAAGAGTTGAGCGTGTTAAAAGAACGCAAGATTTCTCTGGGAAGCGATATCGATCTCCAGCAATATCGCGACCATCCTCAGTTTTACATCTTGGAGAAATACAAGTCGATTTTTGACAGCATCAATTCCATTAACGATATTAAAATTCTCTTGTTGAACGCCGAAAACGGCGATTTTGTTTGGCGAAATAGTATTACACACCATCTCTCCCAACTCAATACCTTTTCCACACACCAGTAGCTTCGTTCCATTCCACTTTTAGCCTTCTAGACCCATTTTGAATCGATTTGATAGCGAACACAAAGTCGTGGATGTCAGCGATTACAGTCAGAGCAGTGTTCTCTTGTTTCCCCATTTCTACCGCAATTACCACGATTCCACGATCTCTATTAAGCAATACAAACGGAACGCTTTTCATTATCGAGATAATTATATGGGTATTTTTGGAATTCCAGAATTACGGGGCAGATAGTCCGCTCCGTTCGCTGCTTCCAATTTCCCTTTTGAAATCCCTTCAGACACACATTCACCAGAATCACGGATGGAACCAAAACGAAGGATCGCGGGAAAAGCCTACGAATGAGGGAAATGTGGTGGTGGTACATACAGACATGGGGATTTTGCTGTTTGACCAGCAAACGGGAAGTAGAGGGTATTTCTGGAATTCCAAAAATAGACTATATTTCGAGAATCCTTCTCCCAGTGAATCAGCTGTATTTGGTTTCGCTTTGATAGATTATGATTAGCCATGTCCCAATTTCGTACCATTTAGACGACATTGTGAACGTCTTCGTACGCATTTCCCTCGTTTTTTCTAATCATCGCCATAGACCGCGCCCGAGCCATTCACCGGCGAAAACAACCGAATGAATTCCTACTCGCGCTGCTACCTCCAAGCGGTTTCCCGCGGCCAGCTGCTCTTCTCGGTGAATATCTGCGGGAAAGCGAGCAATTTAGAAGACGACTGTTCGGGCTTTCGCTTTCTCTGAGGGCTAGACGATGAGATTTTAGTGCTGCAGCCTTTGGTCATTCTCAACCCGCAAACCCACATCGCCGAGAGAATCATCACGCTCACCAATCGCGGTCTGCTCACGTGCACGTCGATCAAGGGAGTCATCGAGTGGTCCAAGCAAACCAAGGTGCGCTGGAGCGAATTCGACGAGTCTTCGGATCAGCTGCCGCTGCTTTCCGCGGTGGATCGCTTCGTTACGGTCTCGGGATCGATCGAAGTGTTGGTTTTCTCGCTGCAGGGGAAGCTTGTGGCGCGCGTTCCGTTGGAAGAATCGCTGAATTACCCGGTGCAGTGCGGGGAATCGCAGTTCGGAGAGACGCGAAGCCTGCTGCTGCAATCGCCGGTGCATATTGTGGTGTATCGAACGTCGAATTTTTCGTGTAGGGGGAGGAAGGAGGCGTGAAGAGTAGATTCGCAGCTGCTCCGAGTGTTTATTATTGTGGTGGGCGTGGTGATTTTGTTGTATACCGTGCTGTCTCAGCAGCAGTCCAAGCAAAAAACGATGTGATGTGTTTGTTTCTATCAAAGGAACAAAAGGGTGGAAATGTGAATGTCTTTTGTTGGCATGGCTGTTATCAATTGAATATAGAAGTGAAATGTACATGAGGGATCACAGAAGAGGTGGTAGTCGTTAACCTTTATTTCTATTGGATAGATTCTTTTACAGATGTCCATTCCTATCTCCCAATTCATTTCATTATCTATCTATCTATCCATCTATTTATTCCTACTTCTTCTTCTTCTAAACCATGCCAATTCATTTCCCTTCCTCTTCTTTTCTTTTTTTTGTCAACAAACAATCCAAATCGACTTGCTCGCTTCCTCCTCTGTAGGTTCCTCCACTCCTTTCACCTTGCCCGAAATCGAAGCGAACACGCGTTTGTACATTTTCGGATGAGGAGCGAATTTCGATCGATCAAAATCCAAATCCTCGACACCGAACGCTCGCTTATGCGTCAGCTTCTCCAGATTGCAGTTGATAAACGGAGGAACGTAGGTCACATCGCCCTTTACGCGCACGTCCAAATAGCGCGTAGCCGTGGACAAAAAGCCTCCCAACTTGATCTCACGGTTTTTCGTTTGGTTGTAGTAACGAATGGGAATCTGAACCATAGTGCCCGTTTTTTTGTTCATCCGCAGGAAGTTGAGATTCTCAGGCTTGTCGGTCACTACACAATTACTATTTCATTTCAAACGTACAAGGATGGCACGACAATTGGCGCGGGAAGCACAAAATTCGCTCACCCTCCAAATCCAGCTCAAACAACGTACACTCCAAAGCCAAGTTCAAACGCTTGGTAAACCGATCTACCTCACTAGCAGGAACAGCAATCAGTATCCTTTCATCGTGTCCATTTCCATCAGAGCCATACAACACTCCCGGAATTGCTCCGTTTTTGCGCAGAAACCGACTATAGTTTTTTCCATCCTTTTCACGTCGGAATGCCGGAATTACAGGGTAAATGTTGCTTTTGTTTAGAGTATCGAATATTGACTTCTGTGAAACTGCTTTTGAAAACGGCCTCAGTCCTTCAATAATACGTGGAGCGAGACTTGCTCCGATACGCACAGAGGAGAACATTTTTGGTTGTTTTGTGTGATGATCAAAGAGTGTGTATTTCCTCCATCTCCATACTCCATTCTTGCAAAACTACATTAAAAAATATCAGTTTTGAACAAACAATCCGAAATCGAATAATCTCAAGCTTATCGGTATCTGCGGAGAGAGAGCGTGTTGCGACGCTTCCAGCTGGCTCTCCAGGATCCTCCAATGCGCTTGTTGGCACGGTGGCCCTTCTTGTTCATGCCACGAGCATGACGACCAGCAGAGGTCAGACCACGGCACTCACGGTGCTTGTGGACAGGAGACACGATCCAGTTGATGGAGGGGTCGTTGCGGATAGCAGGGTGGTTGGGATCCACCAAGATCACCTCGTAGTACTTGTAGGTAGCGTCCTGGTTCACCCAGTAGCTGTTCAGCACACGCAGGTTCGAGCACACACGGCCCACACGGCACTCGGCAATCGTCTGAAGATTGCGGGTGTTCTTCAGCTGGTTAATACCCTGGTGCTTGGGCTTTCCGTAGACAATTCCCTTAGGATTAGGTCGCTTGCGTCCTCCGCGGCGAACGGCCACACGGTACACAACGTAACCCTGCTTGGCCTTCATGCCCAGCTTGCGGGCCTTGTCGGGACGAGTGGAGTGCGACACGCGGCACACCTTAGGAAGCTGACGATACTCCCAAGAACGAATACGAAGCACGTAACGCATGGCATCGCTCTGCTTCTTTCTCCAGAGCTCCTCAAGATACTTGTAAGCACCCATGAATCGATAGCGAGATTATAATGGCAAATAGTGGATCACGGCGGAATCTGACTTGCTCAATTACTATGCTTCGTGGTATCGCGTAAGTTCTATGGTTTTCCTACCTTACATTTTTCCCTAGAAGTAACAAAATGGGTCGTCGTCCTGCTCGTTGCTACCGTTACTGCAAGAACAAGCCTTACATTAAGTCTCGTTTCTGCCGTGGAGTGCCTGGTTTGTGATGTGGGAAAGCGGTCACGAATAGATGCCAAGATTCGTATTTTCGATATTGGTGACAAGTCTGCTTCCGTGGACACCTATCCTTTCGTCTGCCACATGCTCTCTGACGAGCGTGAGCAGGTACGTTTTGTGCGCTTTCCTGAATATCTAGCTGTCCTCTGAGGCTCTGGAAGCCGCTCGTATTGCTGCCAACAAGTACTTGGTGAAGTACGGAGGCAAGGATACCTTCCACATGCGTGTGCGTGCTCATCCTTACCACGTCACTCGTATCAACAAGATGCTTTCCTGCGCCGGTGCCGATCGTCTGCAGACCGGTATGCGTCACGCTTTCGGTAAGCCCAACGGTCTGGTCGCTCGCGTGCGCATTGGCCAGCCTCTGATCTCCATCCGTACCAAGGATGACAAGAAGGAGGTCGCCATCGAGGCTCTGCGTCGTGCCAAGATGAAGTTCCCCGGCCGCCAAAAGATCGTGGTGTCGAAGAAGTGGGGATTCACCAAGTGGACGCGCGAGGAGTACGCTGAGATGAGACAGAGCGGAAAGCTGCTGGCCACTGGAAACATCGCTTTCTATGTGTCCGATCACGGAAAGCTGTAAGGAGGTGAGGACCAGGGAGATTGTTTGTTCGATAATTCATTCACTTATTCATTCATTCACGCGTACACGCGTACACGCGTACACATTGTTTGTTTGATTGGTTGGAGAGATGCCCGTGGTGGTATGCAAGAAAGGGGAGGGGTGAGTGGTCTAGATCCGACTGGCACGTTTGGGAAGGAGACATCTTCCATTCTATCGAATTCGTGTGTGCAATAAAAATGTAAAGCGCGATGGAAAGTTCTTGGAGGAGGTAGGCTATGGGATCATTTGGGTGCGTAACAAACAGGTAGGAACGTATAATCCCATTCCGCTTGACGATGGAATCAAAGAAGTACGCTTAAACGTTGGTAGGACGGTTGTAGCAATCAATCCTATGATTAGATCGCATAAAGTATTGGTTGTCGGTGGGAGCGCAGCCTTCTGAGACGGTAGCTATGTTGTTAGGAAGAGTAGCATGTGTGGTATCGATTGAGACATAGGCTGGGATTCTTCCTCCCCTGCCTCTTCATCCCTATTGTGAAAGCGCTGTTTCCAAGAAGAAAACCGAAGAAGGAGAAGGTGCAGCGTCTTCCTAGTTCTTCCTTTATGTAACGCATTGTTTGTTCCACAAACAGGTTGGAGATTACAGGTTTGACAACTTGCTTGGGTGTTGGATGGTTTTCATAAAAAGTCAGGACTATCCGTGAGAACCCTAATTCTAATTCTGGTTCTGGTTCTGGTTCTGGTTCTGGTTCTGATTCTGCTGCTTGTTTTGCTTCTGTCGCTGAATGTCCGCCTTGCGAGCCTTCATTTCCTCTCTCACCTGCTCCGCTCGGATGACATCCTCCGTTCTCTTGGCAGCGGCAGGAGCCAGCAATTCCACGTTCTACGCATGAATTCACAGACACAACACGACTCTGGCAATGATCGTCTTCTGATGGATTCTCTGCTGCTCCTTCGCCAGCGCCATTCTGACAGTCACACATATCCAAAATAGCAAACCTCTTCTGATAGAAACGCTTCTCACGAATAGTCTGAATCTCAGACACACGTTTCATCGCCTTCAGCGTAGCAGCCATCAAATCGCGGTTATACTTCACAGGACGGTTACGAGTCTTCTCAAACTCGAAAGTCGAGTCCTATGAGGTAAACAACCACAGAAAACTCGTACCACGCGAATATCCTTTCCGTTGGCCCTTCTGAACGCCTTTGTCCAGCGCACCTTACGAGGATTGCGCTTCAGATTGAAATTGTTCTTGCACTTCGATCGGCAAAAGTGGAAAACCTAGTCCATGAGGTTGGCAACAGCAGAACCGACTTTACTGTCGTTTCGAACAAACGTGATACCATGTCCAGGATAAATAGGTCCCGAGCAGAAATAGCAAGTCTCAATTCTCATTTTACTCCCTTATTACCTTTCGGAAACAAAAAACAATGGTTAGCAACAGAAAAAGCGGTAAATCTTCCAACCAACCAAAGTTTTATTCGATTCTTTCTTACAAACAAAGGTAAAACAGACTTAATCTCGATTCTTGATTTGTCTCACCGTACCTTCTTCCCATTTTCGTTCCTCTAAACAAACAAAACAGACTTGATCTCTATTCTTAATCAGTCTCTCCGTATCTTCTTTCCCTTCCACTTCTTCTTCTTCCTCTTTCTCGATGCGATGCGCTTCGGCACGACGAGAGCGAGAAGTCTCTATTTTTCACTCCCACACCCCAATTCTACCCATAGAATACCACATTGATCCAGTAATGCAAATAACCGATCCAATGACTCCGATCGGTTTCATTTTATTATTGAACAGGACTACGGACAGGATGATCATTACCACTTGCTTCACATTTCCCACCACGTTCATCATAAGCGGTCCTCCTTCCTTCACCGCATTAAAGTTTGCGATATTCAGCATAAAAGCCAGCATTCCGTGGAACGCCAGAAGCAAAATAGCTCCGATTTTTGCACTACATAAAAACACGAAAAAAACGAAACTTGGGAAGCCACGTAGTCCAGAAGGCAGAGTCATTGAAGAGAGAGAGCGGGAGGATTTCTAGGAAGGAAAAGGAGGAATTCTAGGTAATCAGCAAAAAGGGAGGGAAATGTACGAGGTTCAATAATTGGAACGTGCTAAGGGGCTGCTGTCCGGAAAGGAGGTATTTCGTAATAATTCCCTTTAATGATGAGATTGTGCAACTGATGATAAGAAGAATCACGCCGAAAAAGGTGCCTGAGATCTAACCGTCACTCGCCCTTTTGAACACATACATCTCCAGCACACACCAGCATCGTTCCAATGATAACAGGAATGAGAGATAGATATACACGAGTTGGGCGTACAGTACGATGGATGATAAATTCGAGAATACACGTAAAAACAGGCATAGTGCAACGGAACATCTGTTCGATACGTAACAGGAAGGTCTTACTTGGTCGAGAGCTAGGCTGTTGAATTTGAGTGATGAGTTAGATAGAACGATGTTCACGATAAAAATAACGCTAACTAAAATCATTTTCTTCAACTCTCCTCTTTTAAGAGGTCGGTAATTAAAGAACTTGGGAGCCGTGTATTTCATGATGGTGGAATACACAGCACAAGATAGCATGTGAACCTACGATGAATGCTCGTTGAATAACGCTACCATAGTAATGGACACCGGATAGGGACAGTGAATCTTCGTAAAGAAGGTTTTATTCAATGTCGTCACACAAATAACAATAACAAACCACGCAGCGACCCAAAAAAACATTTCAAGATTTTTCTGCAATTCCAACAAACACCCTCATCTATTACTTTACATTACAGAAAATAACTGTATTCTCCTTGGTTACCACCACCTCTTCCTCCTCTTTCTCCCGTTTCTCCAATCTCCATGATCGATTCCACTCTTTTCCTCTTCCCTTAAATCCGTCCATTCCATGGCCTCCTCCCATAAACGCAAACAAATAATCCGTGATCACCCTCGGAAACAGCGCAGCAAACGGCAGCAAAAAGCCCACCAAACGCTTTGATTCAATTCAATTCAACGTTCAAACCGGCAAAATGATCTCCTCCTTCTCGTGCGTTATCGCGTACACGACCTCCCGCGCGATGTCCTCCGGCTTGTTATCCGGAAACACGCATTCCTTGATGAAGTGGCCGAGATGTCTGCACATCGAGGAACATCTCCGCTCCTACTCGTTCTGGTACGCTCCGTCGAACATTCCCGTGGTCACGAACTGCGGACACACCGTGGAAACGCGGATATGGTCGTAGTGGTTCACCTTCATTTCTAATCGCAGACAATTGCTCATCGCGCAGAGCGCGGCTTTCGATGCGCTGTACGCACTGCGAATCAACGAAAAAGAAGGAAAAAACGAGAGACGGGAGGAAGGAAGGAACGCGATTAATGATGAGATGTTGACAATGTTTGACACTTTTTGATCGATCAAATCCGGAAGGAAGGTGTGAATGACGCAAAAGGGCGCGAGCACATTGACCTGGAGCGTGAGAAAGGCGAGCAAAACGCACGGAAAACAGGTTTTCGGTTTCGTTTTCATTCAAATCCAAAAACGACTGACTGTATACGATGCCTGCTCTTCACACACATTCACTCGCTCCACTACCTGCGTTGTTTACGATGATCGAGACAGGGCTTATGCCGCAGTCGGACAGCGTCTTGCTCAGTTCGCTGTGAGCGGTCTCAATCTGTGGTTCGCAAGGGACTGCGTGTCTTACCTGCTGCTTTGAGGAGACATCGACGTGCTGTTGCATGAACAAAAATCCTTTCTTCATATGCTTTAGTACTTCATCCTTGGTCTTCTGCAGATTGTCCATGTTTTTATCCCAAATCACCACGTTCATTCCGGTCTCCGCAAATAATTTAGCCGTTGCTAGAATAACGCAGACCTCCGGAAAATCCTACCCAGACCAATTCCACTTGCTCCGCCTGTGATCAGCGCCGTTCTTCCGTTGATTTTCACACGGGACTACGCTTAAAACATAATTTCTAGCTTCTACTCTTCGCATGTGTCTGTAGTAAATAATTACAGCGAGTACAATAATTGTATTCACTATAGAAGCTATCGTATCAATACTGAAGTGTAGGTGAATCATTAATGTTAAAACATGCAAACAAACACAATGGTAGAGAATAAATATATAAATATAAATAGATATATAGATATATAATAAAAACTTATGCCTGTTCTTCTCCTTCACTTTCAGGATAGAACCCCCCCTTCTCCAAAACCTGCATTACTCGCTTCATACTGCTTAAACTTCCCAAACGCTGCAGCATTCTGTAGCTCGTCGTCCGCACCGATCTTTTCGCGTTCCTCGCACACTCCCCATCAATCCTTGCAATGCGCACAAGCAGCTGCAGTCGATCATTGAATTCATTTCGAATTTGTCTGCTGGTTCTATCTCTCAATTCGAATCCATCGACTACATGAACTCATAACCAGGAATGCAATGAATCGCTTCGCGAGCCTCTTCGTCCCAAATGGTTTGTTGATAATGAAGAGAGAGCGGCTTTACAGCGCGTTTGAGTGAAAGAGCGCTGCTGATTCGCTCGGAGGGATGGAAGGATGAAGTGAAAAAGCGTTTGTAGCAAGTGGAAAGAAGCGAAGTGGCCATTTCCCCGTGGGAAACGTAGAACGAAGGGTGGAAATAGCGTTCCCCGTAGACACAATCTTCGGAGGAAATCTGAAAGTGAGAAAAAAGGGTAGAGAAAAGAGACTTTGAAATGATGAGCGGAGGTGGAAGTGAGGAGCGAAGCGACTTCCAAAGCGTCGTAACACTCACAAAGATCGGAAAGAATTGAAATGGAAGAAGAAGAAGAAGGTGGAGAAAAAGTGTTGGATTGGATGGACTCGTTGGAAAGATTGGAATGGACAAGATTAGTTGGTTCAATCGATTGAACGGGTTTAATGGATTCATTCAATTCATTCAATTCATTCATTTGATTCATTTGATTCATTTGATTCATTTGATTCAATTCTTTCGGATTGACGATCGCATTCAATTCATTCAAATTATTTGATTCATTCAACTCATTGGATTCGCTCGATTCGCTCAATTCTTCCACGATTTTCCTTCGCTTATTTCCCCTTTTCCCCTTTTCATTTCCACGTTTCTCCATTTCATCCCTTTCGAATTCCATCGGATCTTCAAACTCATTCTCCGAATTCCACGTTTCCACGTTTCCACGTTTGATCCGGATTCCCACATTCCCGAACCACGGGAATTCCTCGCGAAACGCCCCAATCAATCCGTTCCGCAGATGAAACTCCAAGAAGTGCAACCCACTCAGTCCCGCGGGAATCCACACCACCAGCGATGAAACTCCCCTCTTTCGGATTTCCAGTTTTTGGGACGTTTTTCCGTTCAGCCAGACCTCCGCCACTTTTTCCATTTCCCCGCGGATCTCGACTTCCCCGCCCCGATTCGAAAGAACCGACGGCCGCACCGAATCCACCGAAACCACGCGCCCCGCGGGAGTTGCGCAGGGCGTTTCGCAGGGCGTTTCATTTGTGGAGAAATCGCAGAAAAAGGGCAGAAAATTGGAAAACGCAAAATAGAGGGAAATTTCGTCATCCAGCGCCAACCAGGTCGGATGAAACGCCCAGTCGGAACCGACGCGATGAAACGGCCAGCAGCAATCGACGGTCCCGCGGGAATTTCCATAGAATTCGAGGGAATTTATGGACTTCCTAAAATCGAACCGATTTTCGATCACGGTGCGTCGAATCAAATCCGCGGTTATCGGAATCTCCCGCTGCCCCGCGGTGACTGCGACCTGGACCATAACCGCGGGGATCTGTGGCTTGGGGATGAACAATTGATTGGGCGTGATGGCGGCGATTTCGCTCTGCGCTTGATGATCATGGATAACTGTACGGAAAGGGCGGAGGCGGTGAGCACGATGGGGCATTTGCTGTGCTGAATGAGCTGCTTGACGGACTTGAGGAAGCCTGGCCGCAGCGAACTCGACTGTTTGTTAGTTCGCTTGCCGCCAAATTCACCTTCTCCGCGTACACGGCGAAGCAGTCCAGAGCGGTCAACGACGCGATTGACAAGCTCGGCGAAGATGACAACGAGGGAGACGTTCCGGTGGGCCCTAATGTCCCTAATGACCCTAATGACCCTAATGTCCCTAATGACCCAATGGATCGAATGGGCCCAAATGACCCTATTGACCCTATTGACCCTATTGTTCCATTGGACCCATTGGACCCACTGGAACTCAATTGGGGATTAGGGCCCATTCGATTGGCAACATCGGAGGCGGCAAACGAAGCAGCGGCGGAATACAAATTAACATCCAAATCGTCCAACAAAATAACGGGACATTTCCGAAACTCCGCGCTTTTCCCGCTCTCTCTTCCCCGTTTCCCCGATTCCATCGCGCTCTTCCGCGTCTCCGCTCTGTTCGTCTTCTTCTTGGTGCGCAGCAGATGGCTCTGCGTGGCTTCCTGCAGCGACGTCACCACGTTGGCGAGCTCTTGGTCCGCGTTGTTCACTTCCAGCACGCGGAATCCAAGCGCTTCCGACGCCGCGTACGCCAACGACGTCTTGCCCTGGCTCCCGTAGATCAGAAACGCGTTGCTCTCCGTGTCTTCGTCGATCCAGTCGTCATCTTCGCGTCAATTTTGCCGCTATTTTTGATTACCTTCAAGAGACCAGTTCACGAACTCGAAGCTCCGAAGCCAGTTCGTGAGTTCGGTGGTGGAATAGGCGTGGTAGCACCAGCGCGATGCACCCGATCGAACAAAGCGAAGCGCGTAGAGACGCAATGCATCATCCCCGCTCTACCACTCATCCCAGCGCATCACACGCACAGACAGCTCGTTTATCACGGATTCGATCGATTCGCTGGGTTCGGAAGGCGCTGGAAGCACAGTCGCATCGGAAGGGATCGGAGAAACTCCCGAAAAATAGGAGCCAGCGAATGAAATTTGTGGGGGCGCAACAGGGGGAGAAGAGGGGAAGACAGGTTCGGAAGGGTAAAGAAGAACGGGAGGATGGATGGGGAAGTCTAGACCACGCCATTGCTGCTTGGGGACAAATGATGATAATGATGATGATGATGGTTTGATTTGATCGCTACGAATCAACCAAAATATGAAAAACAAACCATCGCTGTGAAGGCTTTTTAAACATTGCAGGTGTGTTCAGAGAGAGAACCGGAGGATCGGGTTTTGACTCAGGCAGGGGCTCGGGTTTGGGAGAGAGCTGGGCTTCGTTCAATCGGCGCTTCTTCTCCTCTCGCTCCTGTTTGGATAGAAACATATCCGGGGTTCGCATGATATCGCGCGCTTTTTCGGATGAATGGCGCTTTGTCAAGAGCGGCATTCTTTCTTTCCCGCCCTCGCTCCAGTTTTCAAACTCCTCTACATTTATATTGCTGACAGCGATCGATTCGCTTTCCTCTGTTGATTTCTAACATTAAGTAGCTTTCAAACAGAAGATACATCAGGGAAGACAGCGAAATCTCCCTGTTTCCCCACACGTTGGAAAAAATAACGGTCAATACGACTTGTTTGCGAACCCTTCTTCTTTTCAGACTACAAATTAGCCAATCACCGGATAAGGAAAGCACATTTTCACGGGCATGACCCGTTCGTGATTCTTTTGAAGAAGTGCGAAGATTAGCTCCTCTAGCTCCTTTCCTGGAATCCATATTCTCAGCAATGCAACAATCTTGCGTCGAACCAGAATCCAATCACAAGTCACCAGGCAAGATATTTCTAACAAACACATCACACCTTCGTGGGCTGCATTCTCACATAGCTGACAGATTTCGCTCCATACGAATACAACACGATCGCTACGACCACCAGCGTGCATCCCAGCAAGAAGTACTTGGTGATCTTGAAATCGAACAGATACAACGAGATCCAGCTCGACACGATAATCGACGCGCTGTTTCCGAACGCCTTCAATATATTATCTGCATACTTCAACACCATGGCGATGATCAATCCTCCGACGGCGAGGAGGAAGATCGCCAGCCAGGCCCAGAACGTGTATCCCTTAAAGAAATTCGCGGGCACGAGCAGCGCGGGATTCTTGAAGATCAGACCTAACACTCCGGAGAGGATGCTGTAGATGGCGAGCCAGACATTGCGGGACCACAGCGAGAACTTGTTATCTTTGAACATTTTCTCCATAAACACGCCAGCGAAGCCCGACGTCGTGCACGCCACGACCACAGAGAATAATCCAAGCGCCATGTTCGTGGAGCCGGAAAGCTTCGCAGTGGGGTCGATCTGCACCAAAATGACACCGACGCCCAGAATCACCAGAGCAAGCCACTGGAACGGAGAAATGTACTTCTTCAGGAAAGTGACCGTGAAAATGGCAGCTGTCAGCAGTTTCAACTGCGAACTGACCTGAAACACGGCAGCCTCCAAGTTGGAGATGGCAATGTAGTTGAAGTTGTTCTGAATGGTGTAGAGAATGGCGGGAACCGACTGTAGCAGCACGTTCTGCGTATGGCAAGTCGCCTCGGACAATAACTGAGAGGTCGCAGCTTTGCATGAACCCTTTTCGAAAGCCAGAAGGAAGTAGGACATAACGAGCTTCATGCACTCTCCGACAATGACTGCAGTCGATGTATCATAGTGGTCTCCTGGGAGCGTTCTCGCGTATCGCATGCACAACACTTGGGCGCTGGTGAAAAACACCAGCAGAATCAAACTGACATATTTCATTTTTTCTTCGAAATTCATGGTTTCAGGATTCCTAACAATATTTCAGGCTCAATAATTCACAAAAGCAAAAAAGCACTACTTGTATGAAGTAGAAACCTATTTTTATGCACTTGAACAACGAATAGTGGAACCGCGGGAATGATCTTTTTGCTTAAACGGATTTGGAGTGTTGGATTACGAGTGTGGTTTGATTGGATCCTTGTTTGATTTGAATCTGGAAGATTCTCTCATTCCTTATACCAATAATAATAAAAAAAAAGAAAAGAAGATCTAGCAGGTGGTTACATTTTTTCTTATTAACGCAAGGGGGGAAGGCGAATTGGTTGGTCCTATAGTGTAGTGGCTATCACTCAGGACTTTGAATTCTGCGACCTGGGTTCGAATCCCGGTAGGACCTGTTTTTAGCATATAGTTTTTTTTATTATTCTGTCTTTGTCTCTGTCATTTTTACAGAATATGGAAGAAACGGCGCCGTGGTACTCTTTGTATTCTGTGCTGGTGAGATGACGTATACTCTCGTCTGATATTTAGTATAATTTGAAGCATTGTTGTGTAAATGTGCTGAAAGAGACAAAGAGCGCTGTAGTCGATACACTATCCACGAATGTCAAGGATTTTCGTGAGTTTGTGCGCAACTGCTCATCAGTAGTTAACGCGCTCAATGATATATTATCGTTTGGGTTAGTGGAAACCGATCCAGATGCACTGCTGCGCGTATACCACCTAGCGACATTAGAGGATGAAAAGTATTTGATTCAAGAAGAAAATGTTTTGTCTCGGAACGAGGTGGCTGCTTCTCTATCGCCTGATCTGTAGAATGCGCTCAGTTGTTGCCTTGGATGGGAATGCTCCCTTCTCAATTCCCGAAAGTTGCTACCGCTGTTGGAAGTACGGATAGCAATTGTCTGTTTAAATACAGCTCCTACACTCGCACAAAGACATCCAGTCTCACTACCAATACTCTATCTTTACCGATCCGGATGGTCTTTCTCTCCTCGTACGTCTCTTCTTCCTATTCTTTTTTTATTTCTCACTCCCAGAGCAGCATTCTCCACAGCCTCGACCCTCTCACCTTCCAGCTCCCTTTGGTCGTCCCGGTAGACGCCTCCCAACTCCCTTCTACCGACGACTCCCTCTCCTCCTGGTCGTAGTTTCCCCGTTTCCCCTCCTCTCCAGCATGTTCTCCTCCCTCTTCTCCTCTCTGGAGCGCGGCGTGTCCCTCATCGACACCTACTTCGACGACATCCTCTCCAGCGCGTCGTCGCGCTCCATTTCCCTCGAATCCGACCATTCCCTTCCCGCTTCTCCTTCTCTCCGCGCCTGGCTCTCCGCCGCGCACCCGCCGCCCTCGATCGAGCCTCTCCTCTGCGTCCCGCACGTGCTCACCGCGGTTCTCGCTTGGATGGAGCGAGGACTCACCGCGGACTGCGCCGCCGCCGCGAAGTTCGATCGAAGCTCCGTGGTCGACGTGCTGGAATTCTTCAAGACGCACAACCGTCTTCCGGACTCGCTCGACGGCCAGGCCGCGCTGTGTAGGCTTCAAAGCGAAGACCGCTGAGCGCTAGCCGTGCTGCTCTTCGTTCTGGAGAACCTCGACGAGGGCCTGCTCCCCGCGGGACACTACGACACGCTGCTGCTAGCGATGCTGCTGCCCGAGCCCAGCCACCAGATCCGCACGCTGCAGTCCGTTCTGCGCGACCTCCCGCCTTTTTACAAGGTTATTTTGGAGCGCGTCATCACCACGCTCTCGCAGCTCTGTTTCTCCTGTACCTCCGTTTCCACGGTTCCACGTAGACCCTCTCGACCGCCAGCCCGCGGCGCGAAACGCCCTCGCGCACGTGCTCGCGCCCGTCTTCGTGCGGCGCCTCGCGGGGCGGGGCAGAACCGCGGGGGAGCGCGCGGCGTGCGAAGAAGCGATTCGAATTCTATTGGAACATCCGTCGGACGTGCTGGTGCAGGTTCGAAGAGAACTCGAATCCATGGGCGTTTCATTGCGATGGGCGTTTCAAGTAGATGCGAATCGCGGATAAACGGAACCGAATCAGGGAAATCGTGGAACTCCTCAACGTCCCCGTCGACCTCAAAACCCCCGAGGGCGTTTCATCGCGGTTGCTGCGGCAGCTCTGGGGGAACACAATCGGATTGTATTTCGAGTCGCGGGGACAGCCGGTTCCCCCTTTTACCCCGGTTTCCCCGTATTGGAAGCTCATCGGCTTCCAGCGCGAAACGCCCCTCACGGACTTCCGCGGGGGCGGGCTGCTCTCGCTGATGCACCTGGTGTCGTTCGTTTCCACGTTTCCCCGATTCGTTCTGGCGCTGATGTCGATCTCGAGCGATCTGAAGTATTTTGTAAAAACCCGATCAATCACGGTCCCAGACTGCCGCTGGCGATCGCCTGCATCAACCTCTCCATCCTCCTCGTCAAGCAGCTCGGCTTCTTCGCGCTGTCGCCCGCCGCGCTCGACCTCGCCGCGCTCTCCCACAAGCCTTTCTGGACGCTCGCCGACGCTCCCTGCTTCCTCGACCAGGTCGGGTTTCCACGTTTCCCTCATTTCAGCTCTTCCTCGCGCTGGCCGCGGGGACCTTCGCGCTGTTTCGTCCCGAGGACCCCTCGTTTCTCCAGTTCACGCCGCTGCTCCAGGAGGTCGACGCGCTGCTCGCTCGTCTGCTCCGCGCGCCCAATCCGAGCACTCCGCGTCTCTGCGCCGCGCTGCGCGCCGACCTCCCCAAGATTCTGCACGGAAATTTCGCGGGGAACCGCGGGAATGACAAGGAGAACCCGCTCGCCGCCCTGCTCGACCAGAACCGCGGGAACGAGTGGGTGATCCTCACCGACGCTCTGCAGTCTGGAGAAACCGGGGAAACTGGAGAAACTGGGGAAACTGGGGAAGCCAGGGAGATGGAGAAGAATAACGGGGAAACGAAGAGCGAAAAAACGGCCGAAAAGTGGAATGAAACTCCCACCCCCTCTGATGAAACTCCCACCCCCTCTGATGAAACTCCCATCGAATTCGAAATGGAACTGGCGTCGCGTTGGTCGCGTTTGCTGCAAAATAACCGCGTTTCTGCGCGTCCAATCATCGCTCCCTCCCTTCTCCGCCTTCTCTGGGACCAAATCCGTTCCGCCTTCGGCCTCCCCGCGGGGATCGAGTCTCTGTGTTTCCGGTCGGACGCGTCGCAAGGCGTTTCGCAGGGCGTTTCGCAGGGCGTTTCGCAGCTGCTGGACAGCGCGCGCGGCGTGGAAAACACGCTTCTGGCGGTGGCGACGCGGTGCGGCGACGTGGTGGGGACGTTTCAATCGACGAGTTGGCGATATTCGGGGGTATTTTACAATTCCGGAAATAGCGGCGTTTTTCGATGTCGTCGGAAGGAAGAAGCGTGGGACGTGGAGTGGTTCGTGTGGAGCAAAGCGAATTCTTTATGCAGAATAGCCACGGAGAGAGGAATCGTGGTGGGAGCCGGGAATCGACATGCTTTGGTACTGAGTGCGGATTTGAGGAGTGGGGCGAGCGGAGAGTGCAGCACGTATCGAAGTCCGCCGTTGTGTGATTTAAGTGAATTTGGATGTGATGTTGTGGAATTATGGACTTGTAAATGATGTGGAAGTGGACTTATTGTTTTGTTTGTTTTATTAAATTGTTTTTTTTTATATACTGCAAAGAAATCAGATTTCCTTAGAGACTCTCTTCTTTCAAGATCCTTTTGTTTTGATTTGGTTCGCAACGTCGGTCAGGAATTGAAATAGTCGGTTTGAGAATCATTTACGCACTGTAGATGGCAACGTCTCAGCTTAACTCCTTATCGAAATTGATCGATATTCCGATCGATAATCATTACGATGAATCCTATCTCATCCGGCTGGGTCGTCTCCCTTGCTTTCTTTTCATCTCTAGCTTCGATGAATCTCTCCGAGCTTCTAGAAGAGCCAGCACGCCTGGAAGTGAAAGTGGAATCCCTCGAAAGAGAGATTCAAAACAAAGCCATCGAACAAAACGAGGTGTTCGAAAAGGCGCAATCCTGCTTTAGCGATGTTGTCTCCAAGGTGAATTCAACCATGTTATACAATTCTAATTGCTAGATGAATTCCTTGCACAAAAGTGTTTGCTCCGCATGTGACTATCTCCCTACGCTGGAATACTCTTGCCGATCGTTCAAAAAAGAGATCGATACGACCTACACGCAATACAATCAAAACAAGAAAGCCCTTAAATACCACTCTCAGGTTGTTTGTTTTCCCCTCCTTTCATTCTAGTTACTCGAACTCTTAGAAATGCCACAACTCATGGAAACATGCATTCGAAACAACCTCCACGAAGAAGGCCTCGTCCTTCTCCGCCACGCCAACACACTCTACTCCGAACACTTGTACCTCCACACACTTTTTCACAACCAGCCCCACATCATCCGATTCGCATCCTTCTCACAGCGGCGACAGCATCATCTTAGGCATTTTCAACGATATGGTCGCAGTCGGCGAGCAGCAAGAATCCCTGCTGCTCCGCGAGCTCGAAACCGACATCACCGTATCGCGCTGCATGCAGATTTTGTCGTTTTTGGAGCAAAACATCGATCTGGTTTCCACTTTTCCACTTTTCTCAACGCTCGCAGAGATTCAACACCTCGCCCAAACCCTCCAATGAAACCGGAGAAACCGGGGAAACCAAAGAGGGGACGCATGTGGGATCGACGTGGGAAAACCGCGGGGAAATGAGGCCTAGTCTCACGGAATCGCAGCTGCAATCGCTGAAATCCAATTATCTCAAAGCGCGCGACCAATTCTACCAGGTGGTTTCCACGTTTCCACGATTGACGGGTAGAAGAAGGTGGCTCTTCTCTCCGAGTTCGACAGCGGGGAGTTTCTCCGCGGTTATATCGCGATTTTCAAAGAAAAACTCACGAACATCATCTCGCAATATCAAACCGTTTTCGGGAATTCCATAAAAGGCACCGATTTTCGTCTCCTCTCATGCAGATCCTTTGTTCCACCGCTTTCTCTCGTCGGAGACGTCGAAGTTTCTGTCGACGTTCGCTTCGCACATCGATCACGTGATCGCGGGGTCGGTGATGGCCTCGTTATTCGGCGATTTGGTCTGTTTGTGCGACTCTCTCTCGCTCATTCATTGCAATCTTCTCTTCTCGCTGCAGCCCGCGATGCTTCGCGCTGTGGCCTCGCTGATGGATCGCTATTGGGGAATCGTGGAACGCGAGTGGAGCGGGCAGATCGGCTCGAATTTGTTCTGGATGAAGACGATTTACTCGACGAACGCTTATCGACTGAAGAGCAGCGACGCGTTCGTGCTGCTGCAGAGCGAGTCGCGCTCGAAAGACGCGGCAAACGACGCAGAGGCGAAGAAAATCTTGCTCCCGGGCTATTTGATGGAGGTTCCGATCCTGGCGAAAGCGATGAACGATTTCATCGGGACGTTCAACGAGCTGCGGTTCGTGGCGCTGCGCGGATGCGGACGGGAAATCTGCGGATCGCTAGAAGGACATTTGAAGGGAATGGCGAAGGCGCTGGTGGACGCGCAGGACGTCGTGAAGCAGGTAGAGAAGAGAAGGAAGTGGGAAGTAGATGATTGTGCCGAAGACGAGGAGCGAAAACGTGATCAGCACGCAGGATCATTTCCAAATTCTCGTCGTGCAGTTCGTGAATACGATCCTGCCGCTTCTAGAAATGTATCTGCAGCAGATTTTCGAATCGAATGAGTCGTTCTTTGATAAAGTAGGCGATGAGTGTGGGATTGAGGGGAAGAAGGAAGTCGTGAAAGTGTTCGAAGACGCGGGAATCGCCGCAGCGCGAAGTTTCTAACCATCGAATTGTTTTGTTTTGTTTTGTTTTGTTTTGATGTTTGCTTGTTTGTTCCATCAAACACTTCTTTATAACTAGGATTGTTAACACTGTTGTTAACATTATTATTATTATTATTATTATTATTTTTATTTTTATTTCACACATGCACTCAAATGACTCATCAATTCTTCCCGCGTCACATACAAAATTTGGCGGCAAATCGGACATTCCCAGCGAATCGTCATGTTCGTTGCGATCATATCCGGATACCGATCGATCGACGCCTTCGTCAAATCCGTCGCCAACGAACCGAACCACAGCCACGGCGACAGCTGCACGCCGCTCTTCCGCTGCAGATGCTCCAACGAGGACACGTGGTCGGCAATTCCCAGTCGCATCGAGTAATCCTCGTCCTGCTTCTCAATTCCATCTTCTTTCTGATTTTCTTTTTGGTTTTTGAAGTGCGAAAAATCATTGGCGGATTGGAAATCCGCAGCATTGGATTGGCTGGACGCGCTTAATTGTGTTTCCAACGCCAGCATCGCGTTCCCCGTTCGCTTTTTCTCCTTTTTCATCTCCTCAATCAGCTCGTCGCACGAAGGAATCAGTCCCTACCGCTCACTTCCACTCCAAAATTCCCACGTAAATCGCTTTGGCTTTGTTCGCAGTCAGCTCGTCCACCGAATAAAATACCTCCGATTTTAGGAATTCCACAATTTCGTTCATTAAGTCCAGACTCGATTTCTCCGTTTTCACACTCGCAATCAATTCGGCTTCCATTTCTTTCAATTCGATTGGTAGACGCCGATCCGCGGGAATCGGGTGATTTTGTCGATACTCGCAGAATTCCAAAACATCGTCGTTTTTCGTACTTTGAATGGACGTGGTTTTCACAACGAATCCATGGAGTTTCTTCGACAAAAACGACTCCAACTGCATCCGCAGCTTCTGCGACTGCTTCACCATCTATCGCTGACCGAATTCACCGCGGGAATACGAGAGAAACGGTGGAAAACGGGACGTCGCGATCGAAAACGATGTAAAGCCACTTGTCGATGACCAAATGAGCCTCGCTGTCCATGTCGATTTCTCTACGAATGAGTAAATAATGAATGAATGAATGAAGAAATACTTTGCGAGGAGAAGGAGGGAAGGCAGCAAAGGAAGCAGCGTTACGTTCGTGAGATACGTTTTCTTTGTGTCTAACAACTAAAAATGAGACTAAAATTGACAAATCAAAAACGAACCTTTTCGTAAATTAGAAGCTGGTATTGCAGCGGATATTCTGCTTTCTATTCATCAAATCTCCTTTTCCAAACAATCACATTATCGATATGGGAAGCAAAATAGCCGATAATCCCGCTACTCAAACAACAAACAACCAAACAATCTACCTCGTAGGATACAGCAACACATCCACACATCCCTCCTCGCCGTGAACCAAAAACGACCATTCGCTGCTCGGCCGAATTCCATTTCTATTCATTAGTGTTCCTGGAACACAAATCGATACGTCTTGTTGCTAATCGCATAGTTTGGGTACATGATCATTCCCAAAAGAAACGCGAAGAACAACTCAACATCCTGATTTACAAGATGCGAAGACGCTTTGTCTTCATTCAGCGATTCAATCAATCGAGAAAAGCTATGAATGTCCAGTTTTCGATTCGAACTCGACGCCGAATCCAGAACAGAATCCTCCTCTACCATCCTAAAACCAACCAATCAAAATCTACCTGAATCCAACTCATCCATTTCTCCTCCTTCTGCACTGGACGCCACGATCACAGAAGGCTTCATATCGGCTTCGCGTTGCACTTTGTCATTGTAATTCACATCCAGCACTTCCACTCGACGCCGTTTCAATGCGTCATGGCGCATTGCTTCTCGTTTTCGACGTTCTTCGACGCCTTCTCTGCAGTGTAACAAGGAGAAAACGATTTTAGACAGCCTACCTTTCGATCATTTTCATACTCGCGAGAGTGAGAAGATGATTGGCTTGCATCATATCCAACAACTGCGTGATCACATTCATCAAATTGCCCAGATTGCTCTGCGAAAGCATTCGATTTCGACACCATTTCCCCACGTAATTCGACCTCTTTCGCGCGTGAATATAATCCACCACGATGTTCAAATCGCTGATCACATCGCCTAACGGATGATCATAGCGATGTCGATTGTTCACTTCAATCGACGACTGCGGAGGTCGATTCAAAAACAACGACTATTGTTTACTCAAACAGCAAAAAAACACTTGAAACGAAAGAGTGGAACACACGACCACTCCCAAATACGGCTGTCCCAAAAACGCAGCCATTACTAAAAAGTATCCTTGCGAAACGGGCAAAGGAAGCGAGCTTAACAACACGCCTAACGACGTGATTTCGTGAGCATGATTCAAAGCTCCATAGTTCTCGAGCCGTTTTTCGGCATGTCGAATCGTCAGCGACGACGGACAATCCAGCAGCGGAAACTCCGCAATCGACGCGACCGAAAGAATTTTCAGCGCGTGCAGCAAATGAATCAGCAGCACCGTATCGTCCAGATTCCCGCGTAAAATCTCGGGGATCGAGTACTCCATCATCTCATAGTAATCCTCCTCGCTGTACAATCGATAGCAAACGCCCGGCCCCGTTCGTCCTGCTCTTCCTGCACGTTGGCGCGCGCTGGACCGCGAAATAAAATACTCGTGAAGCTGCACGGTCGATCCCGCGTTGAGCGACGGCTCCGCCAATTCCTTCGACTACACCGCATCGAAACCGGGGAAATCGGGGAACCTTTCCACTGTCGATGACGTACCGAACGTTGGGGATCGTGACGGAGGTTTCCGCGATGTTTGTGGAGACGATGCATTTCCGAACGCCCTGCGACTCAATGAATGAATGAAACGCGACGGGCGGCGTGGGGTTGAAAATTAACTGCTGCTCGGAGCTTTGAAGCGTCGAATGGAGGCGGAGAAGCACCCAGCGACCCGACGACGTGGCGTACTACGCGTTAAAACCCGATCATTGAACCACGTCGCCGAACGCGTTAATGATCGTGTTGATTTCCTTCAATCCGCTCACGAAAATCAACACATCGCCTCGCTCATTCACGTCTTTTCTCATTCCCTTCTCCGAATTCTACCCATATTCTGATCGATTTCTTTTAGAATCCGGAGATACGGCGCGGGATCCAGCTCTTCCGTCCCAAAATACAGCCCGCTCTCGCGCTCTTCGCGCGGTCCGCGTCTTCGCTTCACTCCGATTTCCTCCAACGGACAATAATGAACTGCTTCGATTCAGTTAAAATCATAACGAACTTGTTACGGGATACGTTCGTCCAGGCACCTGAATCACGTTCACGGACAGCTGATTCGCCACTCCCTCCACCGGCTTCTGAAAGAATTCGATGAACTGCTGCGGATCCATCGTCGCCGACATGATCACAACGCGAAACTCCGGGCGTTTCAGCGCGATCAGCTTGATCATTCCGAGCAGAACGTCGGTGGTGATGTGTCGCTCGTGGACTTCGTCCATGATCACCATGGAGTACTGCTGAAAGAGCGGATCGGATTGGATTTGTTTGATCAGCACGCCCTCCGTAACGAATTTCAGTTTGGTGCCTCGCCCGCTGCTTTCGAAGCGAATTTGATAGCCGATCTTCGTTCCATCCACCCCCCAATCCACACATCGCCCGTTTCCTCGCAGTACATTTCCTTGGAGACTCGCTCGCTCAGGCTGATCGTCGATAATCGACGCGGCTGCGTGCAGACGATGTGATTCCAGCCAGCCGAAATGAGGTACTGGGGAACCTGGGTACTCTTACCGCATCCTGTATCGCCGATGATGACTGTGACGATGTTGTTTTTGACGGAGGAGAGAATTGCGTCTTTCTCGCGGAAGATGGGAAGATTCTGCTTATCGCGATTCATCTACGGTAAAGTGACTTGCCGAGGGTACCTGAAATACAGCGTTTGTTTGTTGCGTCCATTTGTAATTGATAAACATGTACAATCCCAAGCGATATCCCTCAAGGAATTGATACGGCAAATTCAGGTCCTCTGGACGAAGAGCATCAATATTCGGAAGTGAAAAGTTGAATGTTTGGATGCGTTCTTGAATCTACACCTCACCGAGTCCAGAAACTGCATGCTTTCGTTCCTCCCATTTTTAAATAACTCGGAATAAACCGTTTTAGGAAATCTGCACACTAATCCCTAAGCCCCATCGAAAACCTTCGAACTGCGATTCACAACTGTTCGAGGAGTACTTAAATCGGCGATTTATGCGAAAACAACCAGAAGCGCGATTCAATTTCTCCTTGTGTTCTTCCCATAAATCCCAGAAGTATTCTTCGTCCATTCCTCTAATATTGCACGATTCGAAGGAAAAAACTACAAAAAAAAGAAAGAACAAGGTAATAAAACTCCTTCACTATGCATAAAAGTTTATACTATCCATGAATCCGACTGTACATTCCATTTTTGGAGTTTAATAAATAGGGAGGAAAAAAGAAGAAGCCCATTCCTTGCCGATTTTGGTTACAAGGCAGCTGTCGCTATGGAGACGACTGTGAATATATGCACTCTATGGAGGTACCAAAGGTATTGAATATTGGAGGAAAGATTCCTTTTAGGCAACCAATTCCTCCAAAACGCAAGCAGCCGCTTCCACTGTCAAGGAAAATAAATCCCAGTCGCTGAATGTAGTGAATCTAGATTTCAAAATCAGTCCACTGTTATTTGGAAATGGCGTTGTGTCTTTCAATCGGAACCACGGCCTTCTGTTTGGAGCGATGGTTCCCGAAGACTTCTTTTCCGAGTCTGCAAGCATTTTTAGTATGACATCTAGAACGGAGACGAATTTCATCAAATATCTGAGTCGTGACTTGCAGGTTCTCCTCAAAATGCCATTCAACCATTTCATAAGCCACGTTCTCTGTGACGAGAACTTCCAAAAGACGATCCAGACCTTCTTCCTCTACGCTCCTCGCATCTACGACCCCAAACGTACTCTTTACCCAACTCTTTTAATCTCCATTAGACGCGTATTCCACGATCGCTCCCATCTACTCTCTCCTCTTCCACGTTTACTACCGTCTCGTCATGGATTCTGCCGGCCAAACCGAGTTCTCCAAAGCAGTTCCCGCGTTCGGAGGCCTGGGCAAAACCTACTGGGAAGTGGTGTGTTCGAAAGGAATTCTGAACGTGATCACGTTCGTGGATTGGTGCTGTCTGCTCGGCGTGAAGAACCAAGGAATTCTAAACGAACTGATCGATCACGTGGAGTCGCAACGCGCCGTTTTCCACGACGAAATCATCGGATTCTTCATGGAAGTGAACGGGAAATTGGAAGACATGGCGACTCGCCTGCTGGACGAAAGCGAATCGAAGGCGAATCGATCGGAATACGTTTTGTTCGTGCGAGATATCATCAATTCCTGCTCGACGTTCGTTCAATGCGTTCCGAAAGTCCGCTTTTTTTGGAATGAATTGACGTGCAGGCTGCCTATTGCGTCGTGGATGACGTTTCCTCGCTGCTGTTCCATTCGAATTCGAAGCTCATTCTCTCGGCCGTGTATTCAGCGTGCAAAAACGAGCCCGCCGCGCAAAACGGTTCGCTGCTTCTCTCCCAATTGACCGTAGACATCGTGGACTACTTCGATTTGCTCTGCGAAAAACTGATTTTCTGCTACGGCGATCCTTCGCTCACCCCCACACTCCCTTCCATTTCCGATTGTTCCTCCTCTTCTCTCTCTCTCTCATCGCGTAGCCTCCCTCCAATCCGTTTTCTTCGGCTATCTCCGCGAGAATCTCTCCGACTCCGACTCCCTCGACTCCGCCTTCATTCATTCCCGCGTTTATAACCGACTCAGCCGGCTTCCTGGATGGGACGAAACCCAGCGCGCGTACTACATGGAGCTCCTCTCGGTACCTCCATTTCCACGTTTCTTACCCCCAGCCAAAGAGCGAATCGACCTTCGAAGAAACCCTGTCTCGCCTCAAGATCCGAAAGGAGCGATCGAAAGTGCAGAAACGCGAGCTTTCGAACCAGCAGCTGGCGATCGACTGCGTAGCCGAACCCTTGAATCGATCACGTGAAGCTCAGCGAGATGTTCCCTGCGTACGGCAAGGCCTTCATCGAAGCGATCTGCCAGCATTTCCATCTTCAGGACTGCGAGGAATCGGATTGGGAGCCGCGTCTGCAGCACGTGACCGAGCTGATTCTGTCCAATCAGCTGCCTCGCGAGCTGCAGTACTTGAATTCGTCCGCGAAGACGGTTCGCGAGCTTTATGTGAGGAATGGAAGAGAAAGTGAGAGATAGAATCAGGTGCGCGATGCGAACGATCCGCTGGAGAGACAGCGCGTGCTGGATAGTCTCTTCACAGAGCGCGAATTGAAGAAAATGCAGCGACTGGAAGAGAAGGAGCAGAACCAGAACAACGAGGACAATCCCAACTTGGACCAGGAGTTAAAGCGGAAGATTTTGTCGCGCTATGAAGCGATGATGTACGAAGACGAGGGCGTGGACGAGGATTACGTTGCGGCCGTTTACAACCCCAACGAGGAAACCGTCGAGGTCGACGACGACGAAACGAACGCGATGAAACGCCCTGCGTCGCCGATGGAGGTTTCGCCGGGTGATTTGGAGGCGGACGGCGAAGCGGAGAAACCGGAGAATCGGGGAAACGCGAAGGGGAAAGTGGAGAATAAGAGTGGAGGGAAGAAAAGCGCGGCATCGCAGAAGAAGGAAACGACAATTGGCGGGAAGGAAAAAGGAGAAACGGTGGTAAAACAGAAGGGAAAAGAGGCCAGTGGAGGCCAAATCAAGGGAGCGAAACAAGGCAAGCAAGGCAAGCAAGGCAAGCCAACGAATCAGGGAAACCAGGGAAACCAGGGAAACCAGGGAAAGCAAGGGAAGCCATCGAATCAAAAGGCTGGAGACGCTTCGAATGCCACGCCCGCAGCACCGAAAGCAAGTAAACAAACAGCCGGTTCTGGTTCTGGTTCTGGTTCTGGTTCTGGTTCTGGTTCTGGTTCTGGTTCTGGTTCTGGTTCTGGTTCTGGTTCTGGTTCTGGTTCTGGTTTGGGGTCAGGATCCACAGCATCCACTTCAGGAGCCCAAAAGAAACCTAAGAATCAATATGCGCAGAATATTGAGAGAAATAAGCTAAATCATCATAGAAAGGAGAGGGCTGATAAGAAGAGAGGATTCTAAGATTGATTGAACTGTGTTTATGTTTGGTTAACATATTCTATAGTGGAATGCAAAAGTAATACTAGGAACAGAAATGAAATCAAATGAAATAAAATGTAACAAGAAAAATATGAACGAACTATACCATTTGTATAATTCCAAATATATAATTTGTTAACTCAATGCAGTAATCGATGTCTCATCAATATTAAATGACGATAGAATTAACAATATGAAGGTGAAAAACAAGCAATAATGATAATACCTGCAAATAAAATAAAATTATGGAAGGAAAATAGTCATAATAATAATGAAGGTTAATCGATTCTATCTAATGATTCCATTCATCATCAGAAATACCAAAATGATAAAATGGTCATTAGTATGCTTATATAGAAAGATTAAAATGTGAAAAATAATAGAATAATGATGATGAATCGAGATCAAAAACTAACCAAATACATGCCAGTAATATGCAAATGACACACAACACGCAAAAATCCATGATCGCCGATTTCGACCAAGGTTAACATTTCTCGCAGTGTGTGCAAGCCACTGCTGACCACGGATGACCATACTAATCTAAAGGAATAGTGCCTATCTCTATATATAAACCGCATGGAAACGAAAACAAAGTGAAAACTGAACACGTTACAGTAAATGCACTACTCCATACTTATCCAAGGCTCACCCAGTAACGGTATGCTCGAATGGGTCAATTCATACAAGTTCAAGGATTCTAACATCACTTTCATGACTGTCCTCTTCACACCCAATCAAGTCATGTTCAACAATGTGGATTCTACGAATGTGATCACAAAATCGAATGACGAGGAGCTAACGATTCCTCCTGGATACTATACGATCGGTCAAATCATTGTTATCCTCAACATTATGATCGATACTACGTTCTCGATATCTACGAAGGCTTTGAGTTATGGGTGAATTTATATCCAGTACCCACACACCATCGATTTCACCAATGCTCCGGATATTCGAGAAATCCTCGGTTTGGAAGGATGTACCGTCATTCTACCTGCTTCGTTCTATGGATCGAACGTGATTGATATCACGCGAAATCAACAAGTGATCCAGATGTAATCGTCCCTCGTGCATTCATCAGATCTGAAGATTACCAACCAGAACAACAATCTGCTCACCACAATGATCATTGACGATCCCAAGATTGATTACCTCCGCACCGTGGAAAACATCGCATTCCGATGATAACCCGATTCGACCGATTGATGTTCCTGTTCCGCGATATGGATGGTGATATCATGCGATTGAATGGCGAATTCGAACTCCAGTTGACGATAGAAGATGTGTTTGATCAAGTGTCTTCCTCAATTCTACCGATGAACCAGTTCAGTATGATGGAAGTGTTCGGTAATACTACGAAGAAGGAAGTGAAGCTGGACAATCCTCTGTCATTCGATCAGTGTTCCATCTCGTCTGTATCACTCTCTATACGGACTTCGTGTTGCACAACATACCAACCGATCAAATGATATTAATCGATGCGGGGACATCCACACACAAGGTGTTAATACCCAGAGGAACTATACGACATCACGAACGGCATGAGTGTGATCCGAGTCTACAGTAGTATCAATGCTCAAACATTCGGTCTGAAGAGTCCGCTGATCGATAACCTGATTCATGTATCGATGGGACTGAACAACATGACCACCTGGGACAACCTATTGATCGATGTGATTGAACAATCGAACCTGGATTCCATTGATTGGGTACTGACAGATGCGAATGACCGTCCGATCTCCTTGAATTCGAATGTCTACATCTCATTCACGATATCTTGTAAGTACAACTTCAGTAAGGTATTCAAGAAGATAGATAGATAGATAGATAGATATCAATGTCTATCTTCCATCTATATACATATATCTATATATCTGAAAAGTAATAGTTTGATTGTTGCCTCCAACAAATCAGCCAGATATGTCTCACAGCTTGATATTGGCCAACTGCTCATTCCCATAGAGTCCATTCTTATGGATTTTAGCTTTATCATCAACAATACTGATATCACTATTAGTGAGTAATTCTATTCATCCTAATGAGTTGGGAACCAAAGCATTTCACTTTCATCAACCAACTCAAACAGCAAGTATTATGTATACTATTGTTATTCATGCTCGTAATAGAACAACGTTGTGAATCACTTTGTATCCCTATTGAAGTGTACAATTCGATCCTTCCTTTAAATAGGAGATATTCTGCATTATTTGGCAGGTGGGGGATACTATATGGGTTAGAATAATGGATAGTATTCTCTGGCAATATAACAATCTCTGATAGGTTCAGAGTGCATCAAAACGACAAAAACTGCACACCAACTATCCAAAAACCTAGAAACAGTGGAATATGAATATATCTCTATTTGTTCGTATAAAATATATTATGTATTCTACCTTATTTTCCTCAGTTCTTCAACGACACACCCACCTTTCTCACAAACTCTACTATTCGATTCTATTATACACATATCACATATTATTTATATAAATGATAACCCAAAAACTGCTTATCGCTAGCTTTTCCATTTTCATTCCTATCATCATCTTCTACATACCCTATTTCTTTCTATCCCATCTAGAGTAGATTCCAAATGAATAGAACGAAAAACAAAACGCTTCCACTGGAAACAACACTCTTCGATCTATTCATTCCACAATATACCATTTCCGCTCATCTCCTTCCACTTCACAGTAAAAACAACTCCCTCCCTATTCGAAATCTATTCTTCCACTCATACCCAATTCCAACACTATTTTCACAATTGCACAATTCCTGTGTATTTTTGAAATCATTTGTTTTACAATAAAAGCTATTAGATTCGTCTTACTGGGTTTGAATGTATTCAAAATTTGGAATTGGACTTGTATGTCCTGTCTTTTGTTTTGTTTTGTTTTCGGACTTCTATGTGTTTTTGTGTGTTGTGTTGTGTGAGTGTAAGTATTGTAGCTGGGATGGGTTCTGTCGTCAAGTTGGTGTGTTTGAAGAAGCTAGTGTAGTGTGTGCTATCGGTACTTTGACTAAACTGTGTGTGTGAGATATGCATCGTGAACGCATTCAATACCATAATGGCGGTGGACCCTGGTTCCATTTTTGCTGTGTGGAGTGTGTTCCGAGTGAGGAATTTCTGTACTTCAAACTGTGCAACGTGGCGAACCCATTCATGCCATGTGGGACCGCGGATACATGGAGATAACTTGCAACGTGGGAGGTATCTGGGACAGGCACGACGTTCTTGCCTAGGATATCTGTTCTGTTTCTCGTATTTTCATTTTCATATTGTGAGGTGGTAGAGTGTGGTAGAGAGAACGGATTTGCGATGAGTGAAAGGGTAAACTATGGGAGGAAGAGCTGTAGGTTTGTAGAAGCGGAGCGTATGTGGAACTTGGGAGAATGGGACAAGAAGGCGGAGTATGCGAACTGCTGTGGGTACGGTCCTCGCCTCTGATTGATGGGAGCCGAGTGAACTGGAATGGCCAGTGGGAGCAGGCGAGTTCCAAGACGGTGCAGTTCTGCATTTGTGGGTCTGTGGAGCATGGGAAGGTGGAGGTGTGCGTGGTGCGGGCGTGTGGGAAGTGGTGGAATGGAAGAGAGGTGAGGTGCGTGGCGGTGGTGTGCCCCGCGGACGAAGCGGCGGGGTAGCCGGAAGGGCACTTGGGGCAAGTGTTGGATACGAAGTGCGATGTGGACTAGTGGGGCATGATCGCGGATGGGTGCAACGCCTATCAGCAGTGGGAATCGATCGATCGATAGGGGACGGGCTCCTGCCAGCCCATCCTGCCGATGCTGCGCTGCGCTGCGCTGCGTGGCGGGCGATGGGGCGAGGGACGTGGCGCTGTGGACGATGGGAGATGGGAAGCAATCCACGATGTACTGCACGAGCAATGTGAGCGTGGGCGAGGTGATCAACGACCCATTCGAGCCCATGAACATCCACATCGTGTTTGAATTGGCCGAGGCCACGTTCTCCTATCCCACCACCGCGATCTCCATCTCCGACTACACCATTGCCTTCGCCTTCGCCTTCACCTTCGCCTTCAATGGCTCCTTCCCGCGGTTCTGCGAAGGCACGCACGTTCTACATCAATGCCAACAGGTTGGTGTCCCGAAACGGCCTCCCCTTCCCCGCGGAAACCCTCATCGCGACCTTCTCGACCCGCGCCGGCATTCGGTTGGCGTTCGGTTGGCGTTCGGTTGTGGCCTGCTCGGATTGTGGAGAGCGCGATTGATATGAGGGAAGTGGAGTAGGCGCAGCGCAGCGCAGCGTGTGTGTGCAGATGGAGGTTCCCTGGAGCAGTGGCATCTCCGATGAAGCCCCGATGGATGGCCTTGATGGGCAGCAATGTGCAGAGCCAGTTCTTCGAGACGCGCTCCGTGTTGGTGGCGGGCGCCATTGTGAACAGCGTGATGGCCATCAGCTGGCGTGTCCGCAAGGGCGCCTCCTGGTCCGCCTTCGCGTCCTTCTCCGTCTACCGCCCCGTCGTGCTGCTGCCTCCCTCCCTGCCTCCCTGCCTCCGCGCCCGTCGTGCTGCTGCCGCCTTCGAAGCCACGCAGGTGCGCTGGGTCTGGTGAAGTGTGGTGCGAGCTCTTCGTGCAGGCCTTGGTTGGCTCCCACTCCCAGCTCTTCGCCGCCGACGCGCTCCTCCAAGAGGGCGACGTCCAGCAACCCGAGCTCTCTCTCTCTCGCTCGCTCTCTCTCTCGATGCGTGCGTGGCCTACTGGGTACGCGTGGCGCTGTGCTCCGCCGCGTGCTCCATCCTCTCCGAGGCCTCCTCTCCCATCACCCTCGCCGCGTATGTCGTCGCGCCCGGCGCGGTGCAGAACCTCGAGGTGGCCGCGCTCTCCTCGACCTCGCTGCGCGTGCAGTGGGCAGAGCCGGCGGAGCTGGGCGGCGCCAGCATTCGGTACTACGTGGTGCGACGCTCGTGGATGGCGTCGATGGCCGTGATCCAGAGCGAGAGCGAGAGCGAGAGCGAGGTCGCCAGCACGAACTGCTTCCTGGACCTGCAGAGCGTGCAGAGCGTGCAGAGCGTGCAGAGCGTGCAGCACGCGCCCATCTTTCTGAGCGTGGCCGCGTTCAACGGGTATCTCTCCCGCCAAGAGAAGATCCCCGCGGTTCTGTATGCGGTGTGTGTGGAATCAGGCGGAGGGCATTGAGTGGGACTGTGCGATGGCGATTACCGGATCCTTCCATGATCTCTGCACCGCCACGTGCGAGCTTCGCGCTCCCGCGACTTCCTCCTTCCTCCTTCCTCCTTCCGCCGAACCGTCTGGTTCCCCGCGGGACGCGATGTGTGGGACGTGTTGGAGGGTGGGATCCCCGCGACTTCCTACACGCTGGAGTGCGTCCCGAGCGAAGTGGGCAGTGCCGAGTGGATGGGCAGGCAATTCGGAGTGTCCACGATGGCCACGTCGGAATTCGTTGGGTGTTGGTGGTGGACGGCGAACCAACCTCCTCGCTCACCGGTTCGCTCTGGGTGTGGATGTGGGTGTGGATGTGAGTGAGCAGGAATCTGGTGGGCGATGGGGTGGGGTCCGTGGCTCCCTACGAAGGTGTGCAGAGTCGACCGGGCTCTCTGGATCTCTTCCTGTCCAACTGGGCGCAGAACGCCACCGTGGTCTCCGTCACCCAGCCCCTCCGCCTCCGCCTCCGCTTCCGCCTCCGCTTCGCCTACGACGTGACCGGCGCGCTCATCCGCGCCCACCTCGTCGATCACGCCTGGTGCGCCGTGGGTCGCGATGTTTCCACGTTTCCACGATCCAGACCGATTTGGCAGTTGCTGAGAGAAAGAGAGAGAGAAATGGTTGCGGTGTTTGGTTTGGAAGATGGATGGATGGATGGATGGATAGATGGAATTGTAGAGATGTGGAATGGTTGAAGCGTTGTAGGATTTGAATGAGAATCGAAAATGTGTTTAGGAAGGAAAGAAAGAAGGAAAATGTAGATTTAGAGTGTGTAGGGTGTTGGAATGATTTAGAAACATGAACAGAATAATCCAGAACGAGGAACCAAACGACTCTAGTTGATAATAATAATAATAGAGTGCTGTGAGTTGATAGTTGAAACAAAGATAGAAAGAAAGAAAGTGTATTTAGAGTTAGTTGGTTGGTTTAGGATAAGGAAATGATAGAAAATGGAGTGAATGGTTAACGATGTGCGAAGATAGGTTCTTTGTGTGAAAATCACTGGATCAAAACCAATTTCCATTCCATTCGATTTGATTTGATATACTAGTTTTACTAGTTTGAATTGCTTTCAAACCCAACCATTCCCAAGTCAAAATGATTTGGCTAGAATCATGGATGGATAGATTGGATTATCGAAATAATGATAATGATAATGATAATAATAATATAGACTATTTAGACAAAGTGGAGTGAACAACCAAATCCTTGCTTCATAACACGATTTCACTATGATATCATAAATATACAACCTTGACAGACATAGTAGACAACAAAATGGACTTTTCCATTCTGAGTGTTTCCAAACAATCCTGATATTATTATAAATATCTATACCTCCGAACTATTTCAACCACAAAAATGTGAACAAAATGATGCGAAACACAAGTGAGTACTTCACTTGGAAATCTTGGATCCAATGTGTATATGGTAGCACTCTATCATAATTTTTAAATATGAAGAATACTTAGGTGTAAGGAAATAAACTGATCTCTCTGTTTTCTTCATAAATTCTTTATATTTGGCTGCAAATTACGGATTCAAAGAGTAGAGGCTAAGGATATGTGATAATAAATAGGTAGAATGCAAGAACTTAAGGGAAGCGAATTTCTCCTGGACGGTTACATAACGCTTGGTAAAGCAAAGGAAATCACTATTGGAGGCTGCAAGTATAGCCTCCAATATTATCAAGGCGATCACGAGGATGAATACACGTTGACGAGAGCTGGGAAGGTTTGCCTATTCCAAAATGGCATACTGAAGATGTGTTACGAGGTGGATGCGAACGGGAGCGAAATCGGTGACTTCACGCGATTTGAAAATGGATGTGTCGCTTTTGTGCAATCATTTGATGAAATCTGGGACAACAAGAATTTTCATCGTATAATAAACCATGTCCGAGGCGAGCGAATGGAAATCTATTCGCATGCGAGTGATCACCTGATTTATCACGGTGAATTCAATGAGAAGCGAGAACGAGAAGGATGGGGCATCGCGTATGACGAAAAAACGGGTGCCATGCTGCTCGAAGGAATATGGAAGGGTAACAAGTTCGTGGAGATCATCCGCAAGATCGAAGGAACCATCATGACGGAGTTCAAGCGAAACGGTGACAACACCATCGCTTCGAATCGAATTCCCCTGTATGTGGGCGAATTCGTGTATGATGAATCGAAAGAATCGTTTCTTCGAAATGGTCGAGGATACTGGATCGATGAAGAAACTCGGATTGCTACTCGCGAAGTGGAATGGAAAGATGGAGTGGAAGTGAGTGGAAGAGATCTCTATGATGGATGGCATATTCATTCATTCATTCACTCAATATTACTTGTTTATTTTATACTATTGCTATGTTAATCACATTGCATTTCACATTGTTTTGTTGATCAAATAGAAAGCAAGGTTTTCATTCATAGGATTCATGGATTCCATCCATTATCATATTATTCAATCGATTGTTTTGTTTAATGATACTATGATTCCTATTCACAATTTCAATCTATGAACCACAATCCTTTCTCTGCAATATCATTCTTTGTACTCAATATGGATGGTCATTGTGACAGAAGAGAATCGAAGTATCAACAGAGAATCAATACAATAATCCACTTGTCAAATAGAAATGATGGATTTTGCATTCTACATACTACTGCCATACTCTCTATTACGAATCGAACCATTCCAACAGTATTTACTATTGTGAGTTCGATTGATGCTAAACAAGATTAACTATCACATAATTGATATATTTTGAAGAACATATATCCATTATAGACTTAATAGAACAGCCATTCTAACAGGAGAGAGTAAAGGTGATCAAAATGCGTAATAATTTACAATTATAGCTATAAGTATCTGAAAATAACACAAAAATAAATGAATAGATGGAAATGCACCGAAATAAAGAAAAATAGAAATGGGTGGAGAAAATGAGGTTTTATTATATGTATTCTAGTTTGTAACACACCAGCATATCAAAGCCATACACAATAATCCATGACGTGTGTTCTATCGAGAAATAATGAAACAGATCTTGTTTCCAAAAAAACCGTTTTACCATATTTCTTTTCATTTCCATGCAAAACATTGCTGATTTTGTCAATTCTGCTATTAGTAACTATCATATTGATAGTTCCATTATCCAAAGTGTGCAGGCAAGCTTGGGTATAGAATGGAAACCAAGATGGCTCGGATTTCACTCATTTTGAGTAATGGAGAATGCGTAGTATTGCAATTCAATAATGGAGTATTCATGAATCAAGGATTTGTGGTCAATGAGCAGAAAGTGTTGAAGGTGTTTGGAAATCATCAAATTGGTGCTATTTCATATAATGGAGAACAAGCCATAGAAGTAGTAGAAGGAATCGTGGATTTGGATCATGGAAGTCGATTTGAAGGATTGATATTGACAGAAAACAAGTTTGGAATTCCATTTGGATATGGTGAAATGTATGATGATGATGGATTCTTGGTGTACAAGGGTATAATGATCAATTGGCAACGATTTGGATATGGAACGAGTTATCATAATAATGGATGTATTGAATATGAAGGATATTGGTGTGATGATAATCGATTTGGAATTGGAAAAGTATATGATCGATATGGTAAATTAGTGAATGAATGTGAATGGTATAATGGTATTGAAAGTGATATTGATTATGAAGGCGATGGAAGCAAACCACTGAATATTGGAATGAAACATTTGAAACTAACTGACAATTGTGTATTGGTTGATTGGGATGTTTCATTGTTGTATAATTTGGAATCAATCGAAGTCGGCGATGATAGTTTTGGATCAGTACAAACATTCAAAATCGATGGATTGAATCGATTGAAAACGATCAAAATCGGAAACAAGTCATTTACCCAGGCAAAGAATGGTGCTAGAGAAGATAAATCGAAATCATTCCACATATTGAATTGTGAATCATTGGAATCCATTCAAATTGGTCGATTCAGTTTCAGTGATTTTGCTGGAGACTTTGAATTGAAGAATTGTCCACAATTACAATCCATTCAAATTGGGACAATTGGAAGTGATTCATGCAATTTCTATTATAATTCCTTTGTGATTCGAGGTATTGATATGATATTGAATATTTGAATGATGCATAGATCTTCCAAATCTACAATCCATTACATTAGGTGATAATGCATTCTGTAGATCCTTCTCAACAATAATTGAAAGTATTGAATGAATTTGAATGCAATGATTGATGTAGATCTTCCATCATTACAATCCATTCAACTCGGTAGAGGTGCACTTTGTGGAAGATTGGATGATTCAAGTTCATTGACAATGCGAAGTAATAATGAATTGATTGGTTATGATTTGTTTTGTAGATCTTCCAAAACTAACATCAATAACTTCTAGTTTCTTAGGAGTTAGTTTCCGTTTTCCTCGTGTAGTGACATTGGCAAGTATTTCTGAATATTGAATATTGATAGTATTTAGATATTCCAAATCTTCAAAATGTCAAGCTACCTCGTCCATTCCGATGTGTTCGATCGAAATCAATTTCGAGTATAGTTTGATTGATTTGATTTGATTCATAGATGTTTCTTCCATTCTCGCTGATCTTGTCTAAATCAAGCATTAAATCTATAATTTTGATTTGATTTGATTTGTTCAGTGATTCGTCATTGTTTAGGAACATTTCCATTGATTGATTGATTGATTGTTTGTTTGTTTGAAACCGATTCTTGATCACAATTCATGATTCTACAAATTATCAAAATATCAATCCTGACTGATTATTATGATGTTCTTCTTTACCATTTTAACAATGATACTGAATTATGATTGTTGTTTCAATCAATCAATCAATCAATTATTGTTTTCGATTATTCTTATTATTATTATTACCAATGACCCAATGATCACATATTGAACATTCACAAATGATGAATCCAATCTACCAATAATAATAATAATAATAATAATATAGAAATGATGGTTTGAATAGGTTTGAACTAGGATTTGTTCAATATTGATAGGAAACTGCTTGCTTCGAATAATCATCATCATCATTAATAATAAGATTGGATTTGATAGTGACACAATGGAATGGATGGAATCGATTGATATTGGATGATTATTCCCATTTGTGAATCCATTGTTAAATCGGTAGATAATACAATACAATACAATAGTATGATTGATATTGAATTAGGATATTGATTTTGACTTATTGAATAGGAATCGATCACTGTATACATAGAATCAAATAGAATAGAATAGAATCAAATAGAGGTGAAATGGATAAAACAAGGCAATGAAACTAGAATAGAATAGAATAGAATCCGATTGAATAGCATTGGAAATCATATTGGATTCACCATTCAATCAATCCAACTATCATTTGTTTGTTAGTTTGTTTGTTTATCAATGAGTCACAAAACATGGATTTATCAATTTGATAATAATTGAATCAAATCGGATGTGTTTGATACTTGATAGTTGTAGTTAGTAGTAATATCAATCGTGGTTTCACAATTCGATATTTGGATGGAATGTCGTATTCTTCAATATCACACAAACCACTCATTCACTCATTCACTCACTCAATCAATCAATGGATGAAAGATAGCTGATTCAAAATGCAAATGAATGTTGAATATCGTAAAGAATCAATCCATCATTCACACTCAATAATACTGATAAGAATAGAAAGGCTGTTCAATCCACTGATCCATTGAATGATTGAATGAATGAATGAATGAATGGTGTGTATTTGGTTAGTTTTCGATCTCCATTCATCATCATTATTATTATTATGATTGTATCATCATCCACATTATTCATCGGTCTATTTCA